ATTACTATATCTCCTGTATTTCCTGTTCTTCAGTCAGGTTTCAGCCGATGTGAGCTACCAATTCATATTCAGCCCCTTACCACTATCCCATTCTAAATTCTTTTAAAGTAAGGTTTTATTAAAGAAATATTATTTCTGTTACATACCCTTATTAGTTGATTTCATATTCTCATAACAAGTATTTTTGACTTCTGCAATTGATTAATTTATTAATAAGTATCTGGTGGTGACTTTATTATTTTTATTTGAATCGTTATGTAACGCTAATGCCTGTAGGCCACTGAGGCTGACTGTACAAATCCAGGCAAAAATTATAGTCATTGCTACAGATAAATTATAGTCTAAGGAAAATGACACAATAGATGAATGATAAATGTTGGAAGGAATGGAAAAAAGGAAAACAAATCCTGCATATTAGTCAGTTAGGACCTCTAAACACAAATTATCATAGCTTAAATTAGTAGATTACAGTCTAAAGCAGAGGCAGTTTCTGAGCAGGTGCTAAATGCTGGAGGCTGTTTTCAACTTAGAGGAAGTCACTCCTTTCCTTGAAAATACCTACTTCTGTTGAACCAACATTCATGGATTGCTTGGCTTAGGACCCATGGATAGTTTTTGAGTACAAATGCCATCAGAAATTTCAATAAAAATATTTCAGATTAGATTGTCTTCACAGCAAAGTAATATTTACCCATCCTTTTGTTTTTAGGTTAAATTGAATGCAGCATTACCCAATTTGGAATTTGATCAGAGCTCAGTAACTTAAACATAACTTATCTTCACTTTCAGAAAATTAATACCAGAATTTTGCAAAACCACTTCCTGAATACTAAGAGAGGGGGTTAAGATAACTCATTTCTTTAGACAACTCCTGCATAGGCTCCCCCTGTACTGCTTCCCATCTCAGGACAGCGGTAAGTTGAGTTGAGGTAATTTTGTGATGACATCACCACACAACAGCTACACTTTTTGCTTCTAAAGCTGCAGAAAATAATCTCCAGCTGCTGCTGAAGTGGTGCCATCCCTGTTGTTTCTGTCTCTCTTACCATGGGAGCTCCACTTCTTTGATCTGGACAAATATCTTTACTGGCCTGATGTGAGCAAGCTAGTCTTATCGACACTAGTGATGTACAGCAGAGTTTTGAAGCCAGGCTTTAGCCTCTGAGAGGCTACTGCTGTGCTTGGCACAGAGGAAGATACTATTCCCAAATTACAGCCTCTCAAATAAAAGATTAGCATAAGAAAATTATGATAGCAGTTGGTCATTTTACAGATTCCATTTGCTATCCTTGCACTTATTCCAACCTTAAACAAATGCGTGTTTGTGTGCCAGTGTTTCAATTTTAACGGAATGAAAATCTCAGTAGTCAGCTTTTTCAAGGTTTTAGCAGGAAAATAGTTCTCATGCCAGTGCTTTAAAAGCAGGAAAATAAGAAACACTGCTAGATTTGCCATTTCTCCACCTTGAAAATTTTGAAGGGTGTATGTGGACTATTTCATGCAGAATGCAAATAACCTGTTAGATAACCTGATGGTTTTAATAAATAATCATTCTATCCACCAGACTCTTACACAGATAGTTTCACTTTTACCATTTGCCTGATTTAACATATCATAAATACAGATACCTTCAGGCCACATCTCTGGCTTGTTCAGAGATACACAAAAATGAATTTGACATCGTTAGCACAGATATTTCACTTACTCTCTGAGTCATCTTCTGTGTAAATGGTGAGAAGATAATTACATTCAAAAATAAAATTTAACAAGTTATCCATGGACATAATATAATTAACTGAAATGTGCATAAAATTAAGAACATATGGATACAGTTTATTGCTCAATCTTGTTGTTTAAAGGAAGAGACTGAAGGAAGACTGGAGAATGATTTATAAAATGCAATGCTCAAATACCACTAAATGGATTTATTTGGTGAAAGCATGTCTTTATTAAATTGGAGCTTATTTTTTCTAATGAAATCTATTGAATTGTAGACCATTATACATCTGGTATCTAGGCCCAAATTGTATTTCAAATACTTGAAATTCTTTTTGCTGAGCAGTATCAGGTACTGAGGGGCCTGGACCATATGTATTTTTGAGACTATTCCTTTAAAGATTGTTTTTTTAATGAAAGCTATTCTGAAATGGTTAGATACACAGAATTCTTTATCTGAATTCTGTCCAGTATCATTCCTCTCCTGGCAGTTTAGTTACTGGATAACAAGCAATTTTAAAACCAGCAAAGAAAGACAAGTGAAGTTATCACTAACAAACAAGCAGTTCATAGTTCAAGGATTGCTGAGAGCTTGTTCAGAGCTCAGTGCAGGGAATAGCATTACTTTTGTTTCATTGGTCTAATAAACTACTGCATGTATAGCAACAGTAATCAAATATGTATTTGTGTGTTGTTCTGTTAAGCTCTGTAATTTGAACAAAAACACTTCAGGTGTATTTCATATAGGAAAAATCTTCTTGTGTAAAAGCAGCAGCCAGGAAAGATAGAACTGCTCTAGACTAGTGGAGGCAGGACGGAAGTCATGTTTCCAGCTTGTCAAGAACACTTTTTTAAACCATATTTTATGACTGTCTGAGAAATATGCAGTGAAACCCGAAGTCTGCTAATATGACTTCTCCCAGTCATTTATTGGCCTCTTTGTGGACTTCTAGCAATACAAATACATGTATTTCTAGTGAGGACAATGTATTTTTCTGTAGCATTTGTAACTGTAACTGTTAACAGATGAAAAGCAGCCTAACCAAATGCACTGAACTATAAAGAGAAAACAGACCCACTGATGACTCTAGGAGGGTGCACCTTTCAAGACTAGTTTGATAGGAAAGGCACCTAGGTCAACAACTTGAATCATAGACCTGTAAGATGTGGAATAAAGGAATCAATTATTCAGAAAGACCAAACAGAAACCTCAAGCAGCTTCTTAGTTTATTAATCCTGGACGGACAAAAGCAATAATCAAAGGAGTGTGGACTGTATCCAGAGAATGTGTATATTTTTAATTTTCAAATAAAGGACTATTTTGAGTTTAGGATCCTTATAATTGGAGGTTACATTAACAAAAAAAAGGTATCAGCAAAGGCTTCCATCTTGTACAAACTAAAAATTAGTAGCAGAAGCTTCAGTATAGCAACATGTGATAAGGTTGCCAACTGGAGACTCGGGCTGGCTTAACAATTTATTTTTCAATTTGTACTGCATCAGTACCTCCAGCCCCTCCAGGATCTCTGTGATTCTACACATTACGTTAACTCATGGTTCTCCAGGCTCCTCCTTGAGAAAAGCTTTATTTATGTCTATGTTACACTGTATTTTATTTATTAATTTATGGTCAGGTACCTCTGTTCTGGTCTTGTGTTACTTAGATGTTTGGTGCTGTACTCTACTGACTAAATTATTTTGGCGATCTCAGTGCTGACCATACACTCTGATGCTGTGCTGTGAACCCACTCCAGAGATAGACTTTGTGTGGCACAGGAGCAGGTTTACCCACCATGTCATTGGATTCATAATTCAGACTTGGGAATATGTAGTTTCATTTCTTTCCTCCAGTTTTCTACTGTAGGTTCTTCAAGCAGTTTTTAACATCCCACTCTACCTTTGTGCAGATTGGGGGTCATTTGTAAAGGAATCCATTATTTCGTAAGATCATTACTGTAGCACTTTTTGTGTGTGTGCGATTTCTACACACTGCTCCAGACAGGCAAAAAGCTTTAGAAGAAAGACTACTGAATGAATGCAAATGAATACAATATTATGTCTCAAATGTAGATGTGGCAACATCAGAATACAGATGTTGCACATTCATGAGGTAGAGTAGGGAAGGCTACATGGCTTCATGTACAGAAAACACAGAACTCAGGCACTGAAACTCACTCTTAAAAATAGGTTTTCATAATTAAAATTATTACTGTTCTATGCCACAAAGTTTTGCAAAGAAGACATCAAATAAGGCTATCATTTTTTGCTTGGCCCTGCTCCTGAACCAGATCTGTCTTCCTTCTGCCATTGCCTCTCTCCAGCCATTCAGACCTCTCCATTGTGGTGTACAGTGCATCAGTTTAAGCAACTGGTCCTACTGCAGAAGGACTTGGAAGAGAGAAAAGAACATTACTTTCAGCTGATGGACTGCAGGGCTTCATAAAGAAACTTGCTGTACAGTGGAGAGTTTGGTGCAGAGAGCAGGAAAAACCAGCAGGGACTACACCATTCAGCACTGGCACCAAAGACATTCACAGGGAACCAGAGCCTTAGATTTCAGACTAGTTTTAGTCTGAAATAATATTATGACACTTGCCTTAGAAAAAATCAGGAACAGCATTCTTTTCCCACATAGTCTTGATCATACATCCTGTTTCCTTCTACTTAAAAGGCCTGTGGTTTTGATTCACAGCTCACAGTCAGTCAATAAATGCAACCTAATCTGCTTTGATATCTAACATTAACCTTCAGCACAGTAAACTGCCAGTAAGAAAGAATTATGCTTGTTCCTCTCATAATTCTGTTGCTGTCATTTAAACAGCATTAATCATACAAAAACTTCTGTTTTGTTTAATGGAAGTATTTACGTTTGTAAGTTAGATTACTGATACTTGAAGAAATACAGGAAGATAAAATGCATTAACTAGTAAAATAGAGGTTTGCAATCTTCAAGTGTACTTTATAGAATATGCATTTATATTTGCTGTTAGAAAAAGATATACTGTCAAAACACTTGTATCAGTATCTTTAACTGGGAGAATCTAAGGACACAGGCAAAGCGGTGTTTGCGGGCAGAGGTAGTGTCTTTCTCCAGACCAGCAGGAAAAAGCTGAAAAATAATTTTAAAATACCTAAATAAATTCTGAGCAGTTGCTTTTAACTTTCATTAAGCCTTGAAATATGCTTCTTCTATTTCAGGCCTGGAAAGGGTTTCTAAGCAAATGCTGGCTTTTTTTCTCTTGGTACAATCTAGTTTTCCTAAATTATCTAATTTTCTTTTATAGGTCATTCTTATGCAAGAGGCTAAAAGTAATTAAATTTGCAGGATGAAAACATGGCACAGGCACTGCTGGTACCACCAGGACCTGAAAGCTTCCGCTATTTTACTAAAGATTCTCTCGCAGCTATTGAAAAGCGTTCTGCAGAAGAAAAAGCTAAAAAGCCCAAGCAAGAACACACAGATGATGATAATGAAAATGGTCCAAAACCAAACAGTGACTTGGAGGCAGGAAAGACACTGCCATTTATTTATGGTGACATACCTCCAGGAATGGTATCTGAACCTTTGGAAGACTTGGACCCATATTATATCAATAAAAAAGTGAGTGAATAATCTTTTGCACAAAACAGAATATAATTTTCTATACTAGAAAAGTTTAATCACAAAATATGATGGTTACAGTCACCAAGCCACTAAATATACAGAAATGTCCTTCCATTTAAGAGAACTGATTTATGCTTTTTCATATTGTGACTGCTTCAAATTCCGTTGATTTACTTGTTATTTACTTGATTGTAAGGAAGATACAACTTCCTTGAGCTTGCCTGAACTTGAGAACATGACTGAATTTTCCTGATTTCAATGTGGCAGGAAGACTGGATATGACAAACAAGGTGTCCCAAGCATGGGTTTGCAGGGGAGGTCATTGTAGATAACCAGGTAGCATCCATCCAAGTCACTGAAATAAAAGACTGCAACTGTACTCTTTGTTTCTGTTATAGCTATATAACACATTTTAACACACATGTATGTACAAAATATGTCTAGCTACATATATGTAGCATATAGAGACTCTGTGTAAATCCTGGGTCATATAAAACTACCACAATGAAAACTGTTGCTTGAGGTACTTGGGATTGCTAGGATAGATCTCTGCTGCACAGCTGTCAATTAGAAGTCTGTGGCAGACACCATGGGAAAGAATTGAAAAAAGAGACTTTTGGTGTTCTGAAGACTGACAGTTTTCATACAGAAAGAGCAGAGCAAAGACTTAAGTATTGTGAGAGAAAAGTAAAGTGCCTGAGTTACCTGTGTGAGGCTATAACACAGCTGGTCCATTAACAGCTCAGTTGTGCTCCATGAAGAATGTAAGCACCTAAAAGAGGTGTGCTTCCCCTTCCGATTTGCACAGTAATACAAAGCCCTCATTTTCACATGGTCCACAAGCTAGGGACTTGGAGATAGAAAGGCTAGTTCAAACATATCCATTCAAGTAATATTTTGCCCCTTGACCTTTTTAAAAGTCAGGATCTGCAGCAGAGTATATGGGGTTTGGTCTTGAAGCAATGATACGTAGAATCTGGAGACAGACTCCCATTATATGACTTAAGAGAAAGACAAGGAACAAACAAGTATATCTCCGTAGCTGGGATTGGTTGTAGACTACGTTAAACTTCTCCGGGATCTGAAATAGTCCAGCCTGGGAACAGTTAAAAATACCTGATGTCCTGCACAGATTAGTAAAAGGTACAGCTGACAGTAAGAGCAGGTTCTCCTCTGTACTCTCTATCTGCTTTTTTCTGCATGCTCCTTTAGCAGCATCAAGATGTCCTCTTGGTTACTGATAGACCAAAGTGTTGTGGGTAAGGAGAGTGAAGGAAGATGAGGCTGTGGATAATAACCATACATTCAAAAATGCAGAAGGTGTTGGACAAGTGCTTGGGATTATCGTTCCTCAACACTCTGAAACAGAGAAGGAAACGGACACAGTTGCTCTTGTGATAGCTTGAGGCATTCCAGGCTGCCATCCAGATAAGAAACTTGCTGTTGAGCAACTATAAAAAAATGAAGTCATAAAATATTTTAAACTGTAAATAAAGTTATTTTGTTTGTTAGGAAAAAATTGTGCCAATAGCACTCTCAATTTTGTGGCTAAATTTGTGGATTCCTTTGGTTTGCAAAACTCCTTAAGAAACTATGGCTTCAGTAATAGCAATGGAAAATAAAGGGCAATCCATATGTAATTGCATAACCTAACAGTTGCCAAAGTCAAATAAACAGTGCTGTAGATAATACAAATAGTAACATTATTAACGAAGTTTAAAGAAATGAAAGCTCATAGAAGGAGTGTTGCCAAGGGTTATTTTCATTCATGTGGTTTTGGTTCTATGAACAGTTCCATGCAGGTTCTTACTTACAATATAATTGTGTGCACTGAGCCCTTTTCTTGACTAGCTGCAAAACAAATCAGGAATAAAGTTGCTTAAAGTAAGTTCAGGAATAAAATTTTCTAAACAAGTCTTCTACAATCAGAAAACCTGAGAAGTACTGAATTATAATTTCTAACCTCTAATAATCAGAAAAAGTAGTCAGATTTTTTTGAACAACAGTGTAAAAACTCAGACTACTGATGGACTTGTTATTCTACGAGAGTAATTAGTAAACTGCAGAATCTTTCGTCACAGGTGACATCTGTATCTATGTTACGTACCAGCCTAAGGTGCTCAACAGAAAACAAATAGACTTCTTACATGATGAACTAGAATTAGTCATCCCTCCTCCAGTTTGTAGCAGAAACTACTCTTAATTGTTGACTTGTCAATGCAGAGAAAGTCATATGTGAATTGGAGTCTGTCTTCAGGCTCTGCTGCAGCAGTGTCCTCGGGACAAGTAACATCTTTCTAGCATTTCTAGATGGGTAAAACACTGTATGGCAGAGAGAAATGCCAATGGCTGAGTCCATTCTCTGTCATCCTCAGTGCTATGCTTGATGTTATTCTGTGAACAGGCACCGGCAACGCTCCTTTACCTGTTTCCCTTCCCACTGTAGAGAGGTTTGCTTTCTCTGCCAGAGCCAGCAGACCAGATAGGCGGTAAAAGGCCGTGGAGAGGGCAGCATTCTTCTGATCACAGCCAAGTTTTTACCCAGAATGGAAATCAACATGGAGAGCAGTGATACTATATAGCTCTGCTGAGAGCGTAACAAAGACTCTTTTATGGTAACACAAAGCAGGGCCATTACCATTGACAAAGAGCAAAAGGAATGAAGAATAGTCATGTCCTGAAGAAATTTCAAACAGCACCAAAGATGCAAGTAAGCTTCACACACAAATACACTTGGAATAAAAATGAAAACACTTAGGCGATGACTGCCACCAGGAACAGAACAAAACTGAACAAGAAGTGTAGGTTTGTCAGGTCAAATTATAATTATATATAATAATAATAATTATAAAATAATAAAAATGAAAACAACATGTTTTTGAAGGGAAGTTTTGTTGTTACAGGATGCCAAATTCTGGCTACATTTGTCTCAGACTGCTCAAAACGATGTCAGCTGGCAATTTATTAATCCCTTTTATTTTTTCACAGATACATTTTTAGAAGATACATATAATTGGTATTGATAGTATTTAAAAATCAAAAATGAAAACAAAATTATTTTAAAATTATGGCTAATTGTGTAGTGACAGGTGTTTGTCCTTGTCACCATATAGATGTGTATATAATTCTGTCAAGTATTTGTTCCAAATACAAAATGTTTTGGTTTTGTTTGTGTTTGCTTACAAGGTAGAATGTATTTGATTAATTTGAGACTCTGACTTTAATCAAAGACTTACTAGAAATAAAATTGCAGATATTTTAGTGATGAGATGCTGCATTTTGCTATTATTGATAAACTGACATTGTTGATGATAGTTCCCACCAATTTTAATAATATCAGAATTCAGTCCACATGATGGGAAATTTAGAAAATTAGAGAATTGGCTGTGGAAAGCTTAATCCACCGTGTTCACAGAAATCAGTCCTTTTCCTACCACAGGTAGACAGTAGAATGGAACTTGAACCTCTCGGGCGGAGAATGGAATCCTTTAGAAGGAGGTAAAGACATTTATGTAGTCAAAACTGTATTTTAATTTTGTATTTGTTTTTTTGCAGACTTTCATAGTATTGAATAAAGGAAAGGCAATTTTCCGATTCAGTGCCACATCTGCCTTGTACATTTTGACTCCTTTTAATCCCATCAGAAAAATTGCTATCAAGATTTTGGTACATTCATATCCTTTTTTCTTAATGTTGGTTTAAGGGTTGCCATTTAAAACTATTTAATTACTGAGATAACACTTTTCATATAGATATACAAATTCTGTCCATGTGGGTGTACTATGCTAACTAAACATATGATGATCACACTTAAAAAGCAGCAATATTGCATTTGAATTGCAGTATGAGCTTCATTCCTACTGAGAGAATTCCCTGCTGAAAAAGTCAGAGTTTAAATATCAAGCTTTATATACAAAAGGAGACCTGATCCCATACTAAGCCCTGCAGCTAAAGCCAAATTAGTAACAAACCATTGCACCTGAACATATCTCAGGTCACACTTTTGCAGAGACCGGTAGTACTATTCGTGAACTAGACTCACTTGGCAAGGACAAAAGAGCATGAGTAAAGAGCAGCTTTTTCAGGAATACTTCTCCAGCATTATGTTTTCAGCACTGGGGTAGGTGTCCTATAAAAGATCCAGGTCAGAATAAAGGACAATATTTTCAAATATATTTCAGTCATGTCCAAAGAACAACTTGGGCATAAACAACCAACCTCTGCCTAAAGATCTTTTAGAACGATCTCCCTGGCTTCAGTGGGTAATTATGTTTAGGTACTTGTTTCATATTTTTACAGACTTAAGTATGTGTTTAAGTTTCATTTAAATCCTCAGCCTGCCATAATTATGAAGTAATGCATTGTTTTACAGTAACTGCACCATAACATGCCAGATGGCACACTACTTCAAATAGATAAAATTATGTGCAAAGCTTTATTTTCAGATTTTATTTAGAATGTTACGTTATTTGTACATATTTTTACACACTTAATATTTTTAATTATTTCAGTGTTACAAAACTGTCATGTTTTTCTGAGTTACATCCCTTGACTATAACCTACATTATTCAGCATGCTTATCATGTGCACTATTTTGACCAACTGTGTATTTATGACCATGAGTAACCCTCCAGACTGGACAAAGAATGTAGAGTAAGTTAAACTTTTTTGATTCTTCATTTTTACTACTTTGTTTTTGTTTGGCTACAAACAGAAGCATTTTTTGAAAATTGCATGTCAGAATGGGCTTTTTGAGAGTCATTAAGAATCAGATTCCATGAGATCATCATTATCTTTCTGGTTTTCTCATGAATAATTGATATGTTTTAGGAGTAATGCCTTGTTCTTTAAAATAATGTCTGAAGAATATCTGAACTTCTACTGTGAAGTACAAACATGAGCTCTTGTCCTCAGGTGTTCTGAGCTGTAAATTGGAAAAGGAGCTCCAGCTTCAAATATGCACGTAAAATTGTTGCATGTCATTGGTAACGCCAGCCATGTATTGCTCGAGTACCCATGATCTTAGCACAGCAGAACATTCATTGTGGCTTACAGATGTGATCTCACAAGTGCCAGCCACAGCAAGCACACACAACACTCAAACCACGAGAAACTCAAACTGCTGAGGAAAGGGCCTTACCTATGAACGAGTTAGAAACAGCTGACAGAAGTAAGGAAACCACATAGTATCTCTGTTTCTCTTTCCTGTTGATGGTTATACATCCATGTTTGTTCTCGAACAAAACAGAGATACAAGTTTTTCTTTGAAATACTACTACTTATGAAAAACCTGGTTCTAACCACTTGTGGTTTCTTTCATTCCCTCGTGTTCTGTAATAGCCATTATTGATTTCTATTTCTTTATTTCACTGCATTAAGGAGTCTTACTCTGAATGCTGCATCTAGAAACTGCACTATATCTAGAAACTGCACTAGTATTCACCCGTTCCCAGTATGCTCAACAGTGACTATGGCTTGTTAGGGTTGCTGAGAGCCTGAAGGGAGGGCAGTAGGGTCTTTAGGTAGATTTCCTCTATTCTGGAGCTCTGCACAGACCCATGTGGGTCTCAGGAAGGCTCTGCATTATGCTGATTGTAACTGAGTATTCTATGTTTTTAAATAAATGGCTGTTCCCACACCAGGTAAATTCGTAGTCATGCTCCACATCTTCAAGAATAACAATTGGGGGATGCTTTCTTATATTTAATGATTATTTATAAAATAAACCTGTATTATAGGTATGAGTATAGTTATTATCCAGAACTGATTTTCAGAAAACTCTCTGATTTTGATATAAAAAAATTCTTAATTATTTGTAATACTTACACATCTACCTGATTTGTGAAGACAAGCAAAGAGTCAGCCCTGTGAGTGCCAGAGAATGTACATATAAATATCAGAGTCAGAAATGTATATAAATACTGGAGTCTGAAATTATTTGCAAGCACAAAAACTGAGATTAAATCAACGTTTTAGAAAATGGACCGTATATATGTGTCAGGTTCAAATCTCATGTACTGAACAACGATTACATTCTTAAGCGTGTGTGGCAAGTTAAATTAATGATTTCCTCTTTTCACTTCTAAATATTTTTTCTTTTTTTTTCTTGTAAGTCGTCTTTGATAAAGAATGGCACTGTCTGTAAGTCTAAGTATGCAAAAATCCATTTTTCCTGCTTTGATGCTTTACAGGTACACCTTCACTGGAATTTATACCTTTGAATCACTTATCAAAATTCTTGCAAGGGGCTTCTGCTTAGAAGGTTTTACTTTTCTGCGAGACCCGTGGAACTGGCTTGACTTCAGTGTCATCTTAATGGCGTAAGTGGTTCAAGAACTTTTTAAGCTTTTAGGGCATGAAATTAGTGGCAAATATTATTATAATAAATGCATTTATTTAAAAGTATTTAATTTCTGCAACCTGTGAAGTTTGTAGACACCATATCACACATTTTAGGGCTCATAAATCAAAGTAAAATATGGCAGGAGCCAGCACAGGGTGTCAGCCGCTAGTGTAATTACTGCTGAGGGACACTAATTTCATGTCCTACATTTTTCTGCTCACCAGAATGGAAGCCATCCCTTTGACATCATGTCACCATGCTATTACAAGCTAATTAGTTTAATTAGCTGTTCAAATACAAATCAGTGAGTTTCACTTCAATGAAATTCAAGCAAAATCGATGAAAATAATTATAAAAGAGAGGTGTACTGAAGAGACAGGTAAATTTTGAAGTATGATTGCTAATGTTGCCACAGAGGTTATGAAGACCCGCATAATTAGTATAAGATCTGCCTCAATTCTGAATAACTGTGATTTAATCCTACAGGTATGTAACAGAATTTGTAAACCTAGGCAATGTTTCAGCTCTTCGAACTTTCAGAGTATTGAGAGCTTTGAAAACTATTTCTGTAATCCCAGGTAAGAAGTAGTTGGTGTAAGGTGTTAGGCCCCTCGTATCTCCAGCTGTTATTTGTGTGCTGTCATTGTGTTTGTGTGTGAACTCCCCTATTACAGATATGTGACAGAGTTTGTGGACCTGGGCAATGTCTCAGCGTTGAGAACATTCAGAGTTCTCCGAGCTTTGAAAACAATATCAGTCATTCCAGGTGAGAGCGAGGTTAAACACCGAGGCTGACTTTCGTTCCATTGAAGTCAAATTCACTTATTTTGAGCATAAGTCTTGCTGTTTGCTGCCCATGTTGCGAGAAAAAAAAAAAGGCAGGGATCATAAGCCTGGATTATGATTCTTTCCCTTTTCAGCATTAGCTTCTCTTATTTTGCAAAATCAGCCTTTGAGTTTAACAGATTGTTGCATGAAATGTAAAATATGAGGCCTATGGGTTATTTTGCTTTGTTTTTCTGCATTTTGTTATGACAAGTTATCTCTTTTACACTAAAAAAGCTTTAGCGCTATGGCTTTCTTGGTTTTGAATTTTTTTTTATTTTACCACTTAAAATTGACATTAGTTTTAAAGACGACAAAGTAACAACAAAAAACCAACCAAAAAGGAAATAAATACTGCACAGGAAAATTTATCAAACCCAGATGATTTTTTTTTCCTCAAAATTACTTCCAATTCTGTCTCATACTATCTTCACAGTGTTGTGAAGTCATATTTAATATAAATTTTTTTTCCTTAAAATTACTTGCCATTCTATCTCATTCTATCTTCATATTGTTGTGAAGTCACATTTAGTATTAACTGGAAACTCAATTATTGGCAGAACATTAAATGCAGAGAAATATTAAGAAATCAAATCTATAACAGGAAGTCATGATTGATAAAATTTCCTGCTTGAGAATAACATTCTTTTTTCAGTTTATTGGAATATATGTACATTGCATATTCATAAAAAAGAATCTTTTTCTTTCATTCATCTTCACAAGCTCTGAGGCTGCTCATGAACCTTTACTTTGTGAGAAATAAAAAAAAATTCTTTTAAGTGTCTGCATGACATCTTAATTACATGGGAAGGGCAAAGATACTCTTTGATAAATCTATGGTTCTTTTCTCTTTGCAGGCCTAAAGACCATTGTAGGAGCCCTAATTCAGTCTGTGAAGAAGCTCTCGGACGTAATGATCCTGACTGTGTTTTGTCTGAGTGTATTTGCACTAATAGGGCTGCAGCTGTTCATGGGCAACTTGAGGAATAAATGCCTGCAGTGGCCTCCAGACAATTCCACTTTTGAAATAAGTGTTATTTCCTACTTTAATAGCACAGTGGATGAAAATGGTACATTTGTTAATATGACAGTGAGCACATTTAACTGGAAGGATTACATTGAGGATGAAAGTAAGAATGACTGATATAACTATGTTTAATATATTTGTGGCTACAGTATGTAACTATTTGTGATCAAACAAAGTATATTGAACAGTTGATGTTTCTGCCTTATGCAGAACTGCTTACAGTCACTGACTGAGATCAAGTACATACAATAAACGAGTACAATAATCAGAAGCGTTCCTAAACAAGCTACAAAGTGGGCAGCAGCTAGCCACTTTGATTTTATTACAATTTATTTTTATTTTACTTCATTGGATTTATTCACATATATTTCTAATGCTTTCTACACAGCTCATTTTTACATTTTGGAAGGACAAAGAGATGCCCTACTTTGTGGTAATAGCTCTGACGCAGGGTAAGACCCTTTAAAAAGTCCTCTTTTATGTTCTGTAGAAAAAGCAGTAACGTGAAACTTATCCGTACCAGTTGCATCTCCATATTAGGAGTGTTACAGATCATCTAGAATTCTGCTCCTAAACAATGGCTTCTTACTTAAGTCAAAATATTTTACTCCCTGACTAAACAAAATACTCATTAACAGCCTTTCTTCCTGCTTAATTGGAAAATGATGTTGGTGTTAATGATAAAATCTGAACTCTTGTAAAGTCTATTTTGGAGATGTGCTGACTGAAGAAAGAAGGATGAAAGCAAAGGTTAGAACTGAGAAAGAGAATATGTGAAATACTAAGAAGGCACAGTAGTGACTTCATAGTTCAAGACTGAATCTTTCTTTTCAGGCTTAACTCTTTTGCATTAATGGCAAATTCTGCCACACACATATGCCCAATTATGAGACTAGAACTATTAGGTGAACTCCAATACCTATCTGGCAACAGTGAAGAAGCTCATTAAAAAGAATACCTCAGCATTATGTGGGAGATCCCTAACAGTACAATTGGATTTAGCTAATATTGTTTAATCTGTCTGTAACCTTAACAACATTTTAGCAATTATTTCTGCCAGGAAATTATTGATTTGGAATAAAGATTCTATTTGCAAAATGTGACTGAGAATAATTTAAATGTTTAGCTCATTTCAACCAGTGAATGGATGGAAAGCATATAATTCATTTACTCTCTTATTAGTCTGTTTCTTAGGACTTTTTTTCTGGATGAATTAAATTGTAATTCATGGATTTCCTGTGGAAAAATAATGCATATTGTTCCTAAATATAATAAAGATATTCTAGAAGGAACTGAAAGTTATGTGTAAGTACTTCCTTTTTGGTTTTCACACAGGCAGTGTCCAGAAGGATATATATGTGTGAAAGCTGGCAGAAACCCCAACTATGGTTACACAAGTTTTGACACATTCAGCTGGGCTTTTTTGTCACTCTTTCGGCTAATGACTCAGGACTTCTGGGAAAACCTGTATCAGCTGGTAAGAAATTTTTATGACATAAAAAGTAAATTGTAGGTGACATACAAAATTATAGAAACAGGCTTATTTGTACATGAGCTGAAAACATAATGTTGTCGCAGTAACAAAGATAAGTGGTGGAATAATACATAGATATGTTTTCTACTCCCTAGACATTACGTGCTGCTGGGAAGACATACATGATATTTTTTGTTCTGGTGATTTTTCTGGGCTCTTTCTATCTGATCAACTTGATTCTGGCTGTGGTTGCCATGGCCTACGAAGAACAGAATCAAGCAACCATGGAAGAAGCAGAGCAGAAAGAGGCAGAATTTCAACAGATGCTGGAACAACTGAAGAAGCAACAAGAAGAAGCTCAGGTAATAATGGAAATTGTACTTTCTGGACAGCTTTATTCTTACGGCAAAGATAATAATCCATTATGAATTAGAACATGTATAAATTGTGCAATGAAATACAAAAAGGAAAAAGTCTTGTTTACCACACAAGTCATAAAAGTGGAAATAGCCAATTAAAATCAGGAACTAACCAAATAGCAAAAAAAGCAAGCTAATGGTACAGAAAAGAATACTACGAAGTTCACCAAAAGACTGTAAAATAGTTGTGACAAGAGTGTCCTAGAAACCTGACTTTAAGTAGTCATAGTTCATGATGCTTTTATGTTACAGTTCTTATGAACAGCATGAAAAAATTCTAGTGATGCTACTTCTGGTTTACAGTCTGTGTGAGAATTGCCAGGCTTGCCGTACTTCAAAGTTCTTCCCCAATATTCAGAAAATAGAGAGAAGGATTGTAATCAGTGTTGTTTTAGGTTTCTATCCAGCAAGGTATTTAAGCATATCCCTAATCCAAACACACTGAAGTCAAACAGAAGTTTATATATCCTCAGAACAGAGTAGCTATATATATAACAAAGGTATTACTTCAGAATTCTTCTACAGTAATCTTTGTCTTCTTTGAAAAGAGAAGAAAGTTATTTAAAGTTTTATGAGAAAATAAAACATTTTAATAGATACTTTTGCGTGAGATTTTCTTATCTGAAAGTAAAATAGATGCAGGAATTCAGCTCCATGAGTCAGATGTCTTTCTAATTTCTGGACTGATTTTCTATTGCTTTTCATCTTGCATATAGTAATTTTCAACAGGACAATGTTTATAGAAAGATAGCAAATTAAAATCTGCTATGAGACTATAGTTTTGGTAGTATTTTACAGCTACTTTCACTAAGTTAGAATGATTCTAGGAAGTGCTAATAGAAAATAAAACTCTTCATCTTTTTCTTGAAAAGAAAGCTTTATGCATGACCTGTGAAATCTAATTAGCCTATCTCTATTTTAGTCATTAAACCCTATCACTTCCAAATCACTAAAGAAAAAGTAGAATCCTGCAAACTTCAAATTAAAAAAAGTTAAATATCAGCAAAAAGTACTTTTTTTAAAACAAATCTGATATTTTCATCCATGAAAGGGACTAAATCACATTATATCAAAAGATACTAGATGCTTGCCTGTTGTCTAGATGCTTGCCTGTTGGAGAATGGGAACAGAGATCAAGCTGATCCAGAATTAGGAAGAAGAGGAAAACCATATGAAATGGAGACTGCGAGGAAGGTTAGATAAAGGCCCTGGAAAGCCGTTCCTTTTTAAAATGAATGACCACTGAATTCATTATAAGAAAAGCAGTGTTACCGTCAAGATCCTTTTTGTACATGAAATTGTTAGTAGAAAGTATGCATTACAAGGTGGATCACTGAGCTGTTGAATTGGTTGCTGAGATGGAAGTGCATGTGAGACCCACCTCTCCACTCCCTTGACACTGAACCTATTCATCCACAAACCTAAGTCATCACGGCAGTCTGGACTGCTCCACTTGTTTGGCCTTTGATGTTAGTATTCCGAAGTAGATGGGTAGTGACTCAGCATCTGCTGTCCGTTTCTGTTAGAGCATTGGAAGGACAATACTCTGAAACCAGTATGACAAAACTTTGAGTATCACTTTTTTTAACTGATAAACACTTCAGAGTCTTTTTAATACTCCATTTAGCAGAAAAAGTCTGTATTAGGCCAACTTGTATAGCATGGGTTGTATACTGTGGCACAGGAAGCCATTCATTCATATTCTGAGATTTCAAACTATCCTTTCCTGCTGTAGAGAGATGTATCATCATTCTGGAAATACCTGGCATTGAATATAGTATGTTTTGCCAGATAATTACTAATCCTCTTTGTTATACAACAAAATATTTCATTATATATGTTTTGATATATACATATATCTAAAATATATATATAAAATGTCTCTTGCCATTTCTCATACCACCCTTTCTTGTAAGCTCAGAGCAGCCTATCAGCTTCCCAAACATATTTTCCACTGCAGAATTTCAAAGGAATCTCCCAGACAGTTCTTTCTAGGCAGAGTACTGGACACACTCTCAATTCTTTCTTTATTTGATGACTAAATGAACCACTTTCCCTAATGGACCAAATCAGGTAGACTGACGACTGTAATTAAAGATACTCGTCCTGAATTTTGGGATGGCTCTTTGCCCCAGTCAGTCACCTCATCCCTTTTCATCAGAGAAGAAACCTAAATTTTTTCTTCTCTCTGGCAGCAGCAGCAACAGGCAATAAATGTACCTTTGTGTATCTGTAACAAAGACCTAGAGTGCTGTTACAGTGGGAAATGCTGGAGGGGAAACTTGAAGAGGGAGGGAGAGAGGGCTTGAAGACATGTCTGGAGAGTGTGCCTATTGCCAGTGAAGGCAGAACAAAGTGAGGGGAATGTCCTTGCTGTAAAGACAGGAAAGGCTGGATTCAACTATTTGCAGGCTGCTGGATGGATGAACTCATATGGTGAATGTTAGGGATTAGTTTTCGTTGTTAGGACTCTGAAGGGATCAACTGAATTAGAGAATGATGTGGGGCTTTTCTCAAGAGAAAATGGGGAAGCAGCGCTGAAATACATGAAAAAGCCCCATGTTTATACTTTTCTGACTACCTTAATTTTAGATTGGTGTCCTGTGCAGCAAGTCTTTCAGGAATAGTGATGCTATTGTTCTGCTGAAGTTGATGCTTCGCATCTGAAGTTGATGCTTGAGACTACTAAACAATGAGGAGCTATACAACTCAATAGTTTATCTTGAGTTTAATTTGTTTGTGCATATTTGCATACTCAAGTGTGTACAGCCAGCAGTACTACCGCGGTGATAATAAAAACAGTTGATAATATCCTATAAAATTGTTCATTTTTGACTTACTAAGAATACCTTGCTTTGTAACCTGACAGGCAACAGCAGCAGTAGCAGCAGCATCAGTTGCATCAAGAGATTTCAGTGGTGTAGGGGGATTAGGAGAACTCTTGGAAAGTTCTTCAGAAGCATCAAAGTTGAGCTCAAAGAGTGCTAAAGAAAGAAGAAATAGAAGGAAGAAAAGAAGACAGAAAGAAATGTGTGAAGCAGAGGACAAAGGAGATATCGATAAGTTCCCCAAGTCTGAGTCAGAAGACAGTATCAGAAGGAAAAGTTTCCGCTTCTCCACAGATGGAAGTCAACTGACATATGAAAAAAGGTTCACGTCTCCCCACCAGGTACAGCACTCTTCTTTATCAAATCATGTACATCTGCTATAATTTGGTTTTGAATGACATTACAGAAGCTCTACATATTAGAAGTTATGCGAAAAATGAGTGAAGGAAAAAAACAGCGGTAGCACCGTTAACAGTGTTACAGTTTGATATGGTTTGACCTGTTCTTTTAGCAAAGGGATAAAAAGAACATACCAAAGATAATTGTAAATGTAATTAAAACATTTCTGAAAATGTATTTCTGAAAACGTATCTGGTAGATTGGAGAAAGAATCAAAGATTCTTTGATTAGTATTCATATATTTGCATTAATCAACATAAGTTCTCTGTTCTGCATCCATTTCAAAACTATACAAATACGGGGTTTTTTTAGCAGACTATATCATCAAAATACCCTGAATAGGAAGTTCCACACTATCATTAGTTTCTATTGCTTTCCTTAATTAGTTTCTTTAGATGGTAGATAATGAGAAAAGTAGCTCTTGTACTCCACAATAAAGACAAAATATGTAGGGATCATTTGGGCTTGTATTTATAAGAATTTAGTCATAGTGTTCTTTTTCATTAAAAATTCATTATACAAGATGGGGAACCATTGCAATCATAGAAAAAAAATTAGTTTAGGAAGGACCTCTGGAAATCATTTAGCCCAAACCTGAAAGCTCTACTCCCTTAAATCAGATGATATCTTCTGTTGTTTAAGGATACTGTTGTTTATTTCAAGTCTATGCACAGTTATGGTATTTGCAGGAAAATCTCAAAATGCATCTCTTCGAAATGATCATGTTGGGTCTCAGTCAACAGATGACATTTAGCTACCAATACTACCCATGTTTAACTACCAATGTTTATCCTATTCAATGTTCGTAACAAGTGTGTTAGTTTACAGACTGATATAAAATATGAAATTCAGAGGCGGAAATACTTCACACTGAAAAATATGCACTGAGGGGAGGAAAGCTTAATTTGAGACAAAGCCTCAGTAACTAGTCAAGTATAAGGGATGATGCTTGGTCTGAAAAAAATACATTTGCATTTCTAAGGAAGTGAAGTAATGTTTATTGTAATTAAGAAGAATGACCAGGTTGTTATCCGGATAAGAAAAAAATAGAATGTGAAAAAACTGAATTGTTAAATCTCTCTCAACTCCTTTGAGTAATATTGTAAAAGTGTATTTCCAATCTAATAAAATGTACTATTAGTTTTGGGCCAAAGCTGCTCAAAAAAATCTTTCATTAATTGGAATGGGGTTTGAGTCGAGCTAATACAAAGGAGCTGCAGCCAAAGATCTCATCTTAGACTGCACAGTTGTGTCTCAGATACGTAAGTGCCCACAGCTCACAGATGGGAATGAGTGACTTGACTACACTAAAGAGTCACTGACAAAGTCTGAGCAGAAAGGAATTTCTAATTGCTAGTCCCGTGCTTTAACTACTTGATAACAGGCCTCTCCATTTTCTAGTCTAAATTCCCTGATGCTTTTTTATATATTTCTGGTGAAGAGACTGATTAAGGAATATATTATGTTTATATTAAATTAATTTTTTGGTGCACAGAAAAAATACTTAATACAGAAGCATGTATACTAAGGGCAGGTGAATCTGAGAAAAAGAGATTCCATAGGTAATAAACTTTCTGTAGCTTTATTAACATACAGTAAAGCATTGTATGTATTTGTTCATACTGTGAAACTCTCAGAAAGCTTTCATCCTGGCAATTGTCATGAAGAACTGTGAAACTTGCACAGAAACTTAAGAAGCTTAGGAAAGCAAGGCATTCCAAATGACTTTTGATAACATTAAATGCAAATTCATGTTGTAGAATAAACAATTAAAAAGCATTTAAAATCAAGTCAAAACAAGTATTGTATATGTCTTAGATTTAAAAGAAAAGAAGGAAATGGTGCAATAGACAGGAAACAGCTCATCTTGAGACATCATGAATTACACAGCAAGAAGGAAATAAGTGACCATCTGAAACAAATTTTTTTAAAAATTAATTTAAGATTTTAAAATACAAAGAGATTTGTATCAAGTGAATAATCTAAATGAGGATAAGTTATTACTTAAAGACTGTCTTGGCAATTGTTTTTGCAGTTGTAAAAATGCTTTGGGGCAAACATTGCCTGCATATAACTGAAATAAAATGGAGCTGCCACACAAGTGGAAGGATTATGGGCAGTAGAACTGGTGAAGGCAGAGCTGGTTTGTCTTGGTAGCCATGCAGTTAGCTGCCTGGTGAAACAGAGTGGCAGAGCATGAAACAACATGGCAGAATGGTAAATGAGATAATCTGCCCAGTCAGCCCCTGTAGAGGTTTGTCCTTTGACACAATATTCCGCATGCAAGTGAATGATGCAGCCTGCAAGAAGAGCCAAGCTTTCCTTTCAGACCTTACTTTCCAGGAGCCTGTAGACACATATATCTCTGCCTCTACACGTGTCAGAATTGCAGCCATTTTGGCTCATAACTTTTGTCTCAGGCCAGCAGGGACTTTCAGTGCAGGCATTACTCCTCCTGAATCCCTGAGAGGCCTGATCCATTTAGCTGTGCTCAGAGCATGGTAACACATATTGGAAATATTGGACAACAAATAAAACATAGCAGCCATGGAAACATTCTCTAAAAAAAAAGGGTAGCAGTGGAAGTCAGACGAAACCTAGTGTGCGTGTGATTTTTTTGAAGGACTGTAGGTTGGCCAAATACATTTACAAAGAAATGTACAAAGGGTGCAGTAATTAGTTTACCACTTTGTCAGAATTCAGTGTCATGCTCCATAGCAGCTAGAGCTTTTTTTTTTAGATAAGATTATCTTTCAGCATAAGCAAAACAGTACTTTTTCTCCAGCCAAGTTTACGTAAATGGGTTAGCAAACCCATTTGGCTGATATTCTTCAAGTAACTCAGCCTGAGGCTGACAGCCAGCATAGAAAATATCAGCCCAAATTATTAAAATTTGGTACAGCTGTAAGAGAAGGAAAAAACCTCACAATGGTAAACACTTGCCAGCCTTTACAAAAGGCAGCACTACCAGTTCAGCATGCATATTATGTGTGTATATGTATAAATCAGATGTGCATATACAGAGATATATATGTATTGATATACGTATTACTCAGTGTTTGGTTTTCACAGTATTAATATAGGCTTATATATAATAGTGCAGTTTTCACTTTCACTTTAATTATCCTGGGATAGAAACCACTGCTATTACATATGAGCACCTTCCATTTGCAAAACTAGTGAAAAATCGAGAATCATCTCAAACCGGGTTGATGTACCAAGATGCAAAGATTTGTACAAATGCAGAATTGAAGAAGGCTTAATGCAAGGTTTCTTTTTTCCACAATTAGTACTCATTTTATTTATTCATGAATGCTGTTAATAAAATATGTAGCAAGGGAGAAGAACATTCCATTAACCAGCTTCTACTGTAATTAAAAGATGAATTACCAACAACCACCAATTTATTTTTCTCATTTGTAAGAGGGTATCTTTAGGTAACTATGTCCCTGGTGAATGCTTGCTTTGAGCTGCCTGATGGCCAAGTGGTACCTGCTGATAGGTGTGCAGCCTGTTGTAGCCCCCAGAGTGCTATGCCCAAGAGTGCTACTAGTCATCTCCACACTACCTCCAGAGCTTCCCTAAGCTGTTGCCTCTGTTTTCTAGTTTTAGACTACTATGTATGTTGGTCCCACACTACTGAGTCTATTGTGAAGAGGGCAGACACATTCTTTACATCAACTTAGACTGAATTTAATACCAAACTTGAGAACACTTCTGTCTCTAGCAAATAGAATAGAAAACAATGATTGGTGAGCATTATCAGTTATTATTCCTAGGAATTCAGGGGATGAAGAAGGGAAGAAAAATAAAATATTTTTAGCTCTGTGCTCTAATAGAAGAAATAAAAGACAAATACCTGCAAAACCTTGATAATGATGTTAAGAACTGTCTCCAGCACAGTCACGGGTCCATACTAATTCACCCTGCCTTTTTAGCTCAAAACTGCCCAACCTTACTTATGTCTTCTGCACTGTGTTTCCTCAGGCCTGCCACATTATCTTAAAAACAATTTTTCCCCTCTACTTCAGGTCCCCTAATGAGCACATTCTCCTAATGGACACACTGATACTATTGAAGAAAAAAGTGACTATCCTTCCTCCAGCACTGTAACTATTCTCTGAAAAGACAAGAACTTAGAACCTCAGTTCTAATGCTGTTTTGTTTTAAATCTTTCACAGTCTTTGCTAAGCATTCGCGGCTCCCTGTTCTCACCAAGGCGCAACAGCAAGACAAGCATTTTCAGTTTCAGAGGTCGTGCAAAGGATATAGGATCTGAAAATGACTTTGCCGATGATGAGCATAGCACTCTTGAAGACAATGAGAGCAGAAGAGATTCTCTCTTTGTTCCAAATCGACATGGAGAACGGCGCAACAGTAATATTAGTCAGGCGAGTGTGTCATCTAGAATGGTACCAGCCCTTCCAGTGAATGGGAAGATGCACAGCACTGTGGATTGCAATGGAGTAGTTTCGTTGGTTGGAGGGCCTTCAACTCTAACATCACCTACTGGTCAGCTTATACCAGAGGTAATTATAAGTAAACCAGTAATTATTACAGTTCGGTTCAGGAATGGATATTTTTGTCAGTGCTCACCTCTGCTTGCCTCATCATTTCTTAGAGCTGTGAGAAATAACTTAAAATAGTTTCTAAATAACAGAACATTCAGGGAAAAAAGTCCTCAATCTCCTATGTCTGAGGCTCACTGAAATATTATATTCTCTTTGCCTTCAGCAAGAGATCTGCATATAGAAAGAAAAAAATATAAATTCAATTTGACAATTCGTACATAGTTTTGCCTCAACAACAAAGGTAGACATTTGCTATATAACTAAGGATATAACCTGGAAGTACGTATAGGAAAACACCTGCAAAATGAAGTGGAATGCAGTTACTACTCCCATAATAGTTAACAGAAATACCCCTTACTAAATTTATCTCGAAGAATTTTTTTCCATAACTTTGATGAGAAAAATATGTACAATTTCTGTGTACCTTCTCAATTACATGACATTTCAGTCCCAGTTTCAGACTTCTGTAAACTACGATGTTGTTTCAAACCTTCAAAAAAGCATGTAGTATTTTAATATGGATTCAGTATGGCATTTTGGTGGCTATAATACCACTGTATTTAACCTGAAAAATTATTTTCACTATAAATAACTATGGAGATTTCATTACTACTATTACTACACATATCTTTTTCTTTTTTTTTCTCTCCTATCTTGATATAGACCTTCGTACCAGAAATTCAGTCAGATTACCTCAGAGGTTATGCATATATACTTCTATTTCGGAAACAGATTCACTTGAAAAAAAATTTTGCCATTTAACTCAGGAGTCTTCTCTAAAGAAATAGTACTAGTGAATGCTCAGAAATGTTTTTTCATCTTCACACTAAGATAACCTTGAAATCCCTTATGAGTTCTGCAAGCTTCTTTATTCTTTTTCTGGATGGGGACAGAATAATGAAAAAAAGAGTGAGCAGTTTCCATGAATCAGAGAAACAGGGTAGAGCAGGAAACAAGATTTAGGAACTTTTTAATCCCTCTTCTGTGTTTAGTTGCCGAGGTCACACTGAGAAGAAAAGCAAAGGAACTGTAAGGACACCTACAAGCTACAGAGTAGTGACATGTTAGGCACATTCAAATCAGAGCCAGGTATTATTGCTTTGAAAAGATAATTAGAAGCCATACAAAACCGAGAGGACTTGCATAGTCATTGCAAGAATATATCACAAATTCTGTATGAGCATAGTGGTGGGTGAGAATTAGGTAGAAGAAATATTAAACAACGTGTGATTTTTTTCTCATATAAAATTTTCCAACCATGCTTATCAGGTTAGGAATGCAGTATACAGTATTAGAGAGATAATTACTTCCTAGAATTATACTCATGTTTCTTATATCAAAGTTACTTTCTTAAATAATAGTTCACCTCCTTCTGTACTCACACTTTAATTATTTAACATGACTAGCTGCTAGAAACTCAGGTGACAGGTTTCAACTTTGATAATTTGTTCTGGAAAGAATAATAATAATCACCAGCAAAAAGATACCTAACAAAAAATTTGTTCAGTCATTTAAATGAGAACCACTTTTGGTCCCACATTGCCTTGGGATTTTGTCCCCCAGCTGATTATTTGTAGCACTGTACAAAATTCCCACTGAGTTCCTCAATAAAGAACAAAGAAATTCCTGCGGGAACAGAAACATTCAGAGTGTAAGAAAAGTCTAGTATGCTGCACGAAACTGATTTTGGTTATCATTACAATATTTATACAGTAAATATTGTTAACTGGCTGTTGAAAAGGATGGTTTAATGCCTCAGTATTTGATTTACAGGGCACCACTACAGAAACAGAAATAAGAAAAAGAAGACTGAGTTCTTATCAAATTTCCATGGAAATGCTGGAAGATTCTGCTGCAAGACAAAGAGCAATGAGTATAGCCAGCATACTTACAAATACAATGGAAGGTATTTGATGCATTTTATCTGACAGACAGCTCAGTGAATTTCTGCTAACTGTATGCACAAAGCAATTATTTACATGATTTCCACTGTAAATGTAAAACTGGACACGTGAAATCTCTGAACATCAGATATAAAAGGCTTTTGAGCATTTCTAAGATCATTTACACATTCAGAATGCTTAGTCATTTATTTTTCATAATACCTTCCAAAATATGACTTCACTGAGTGGACTAACAGAGTAACAGAAACAAAATAATAAGAGCTAAGGGATGGCCAGAGTCCCAGGCAGACAATACAGGGATTTTCTTCCTATAAGACATCCACAGGAAAATCAATTAAGATACACAGGAACTGCTATGATAAAGGCAGTGATATGCTAGCTCAGTCATTTCCCTTAAACGTAAAATTCAAGGATAGACAATAGGAAATTTCAATGAAAAAGACAGCTTTAAAGAAAACAACCAACTGTAATCAACCCATGCCAATGCACATGAACTGCCTTCCTCAAGCATTTCTTAAACTTTCTTAGTTAAGTATAACTATAATTTTTAAAATAAGAAAACAGGCATTCTGTATATAAAAAATACTGATTTAAATAAGCAATGATAGATATGCACACGAAGTTGTTTATCTGCTATGATATTGTAGTGTTTCAGTGCATTAGCAATTATAATACTTTTAGTAGCTCAAATCAAAATACGTGCATGTTACATGCTTAACCGAAAAGGTTCATATTTTTTGAAGCCTATACAAATGATATACATTAGCTCACTGATGATGGAGTTATGGTGACTTTTAATGTTCAAAATTAAGACATCTGCTGTAAGCAAGTCAATTAACCTAAACTAAAGGTCTAGACTCTCCCTACTGTCATGGGAAAGAGACAATCACATTTCTGTCTTTAGATACATGTCAGAGATTATTCACTCTTTAGAGATAACTTCACTGTCCACTGGTTGTAGAGGAACTTAAATAAATCAGATGCTTAACTTTAAAATGGCTAAAAATGGGTGAGGGAAATCCCATGTTAGTGTGAGCTGTTTATTTGAATGATTTAATCTTTTTGTACATTTTAAACAAAAATTTCCAGAGAATATAAATGGAATATTCATGATTTGTTATTTTTTTTCCTGGGTTATTTTTCAGAGCTTGAAGAATCCAGACAGAAATGCCCACCATGCTGGTACAGATTTGCAAACACTTTCTTGATCTGGGATTGCTGGAGTCCATGGTTAAAAGTAAAACACGTCGTCAATTTAGTTGTGATGGATCCATTTGTTGATCTTGCTATAACTATTTGCATTGTTTTAAACACCTTGTTTATGGCCATGGAACATTACCCAATGACAGAACAGTTTAGCAGTGTCCTTTCTGTGGGGAACCTGGTAAGTTGTTTGTCATGTATTACTTGGTGCAAAAATACCATTTTCTAAAAGAAGAATGATCTTCTAAAAGAAGCAATGCATAAATGCATTGAATTGGTTTTAAATTTATTCCAGGTTGGTTTTTATAATCAGTTTAGAAACTGTATATATGATTTTCACAGATAAAGTCATTTTTGCTGGAACCTTTAACTTTCATGCATGTATTTTGTATCTACTATAATGAAATAACTGAATACATGTGGAAGTGCAATCTTCACTGGATTAACAGATTTCTTGAGGCCTACCTTGTTTTTTTTCTTTAAAATATTACGGTAGATTATCTAATTTTTACCATGGTACTGATATTCCATCACAGAAAATATTTTTCTTCAGTAAGAAACTGATGAAATATTTAGATGTCAGAATTTCTCTTTGAGGTTTTTTCAGTTAAATTACAGTGAAAGTACATTTCCAAGAAAGGCATATTTCTTGTTAGCAGTAAGTCCTTGCCATTTTAGGTAAATAAAAAATACTTATTAAACTAGAATATTATTATTTATTCTCTTTCACAAAGCACCTTGTATCTGTGAGTTTATCAGTGATGTCTTTCCTGATTTTAATTTGATCCAGAGATTTAGGTTTACATGTAACTCCTTTTCTGAGCAGATACCTAAATGTGACATAATGCTTAAATGTTGTTTGCTTCTCTCCATTTGCTTCTAATGCTCAGGAAGCAGAGGGCTGAACTGTCCAAGTGTTTGTTTCAGAAGAAGATTCATACATTTTTAATTTTTTGCCAGCTCACATAACTACCAGTAGTTGACACAGGAGAGGTCTGGATTGACTCACACAGCATGCAGTCCTGAAAATCAAAACCAACCAACTATTCTGAACTAATCACTCAAAAAGATTAGTTTTGAAAAGTCTGCTAATATTTAAATGGAGCAGTAATAGATTTTTCAGTCAGAGTATGTTTTAAGTCTAAACATTTTCCTTATATGTACTGCTAATACAACCTTCTATGACTTTTTTTAAAAATAGAACTACAAATGAACTTACTACCTATGTGTTCTTGTGTGCATTAAGAGTTTCCTTTCTCCTGCACAAAGATTTAATTGCTAGCATATTCTTATATTCATCACGGATTACAGAATATTGTATTTTAAAATGCTGGTCTGTCATATTGTCAGAATTATTTCTCTCCAATCATTCATACTTACAAGGTCGTCTGCCTTTTCCTATCTCATATTTTTCTTTTTTTTACTCTAAGCTAGCAACAGTCATATTTTTAACTAGCTTTGTAACAATCCAGTATCCTTAATTAGGACTATATATATCTGCAGTGAATACTATTCCGGCTGGTTTCAATTAAATTCTCTGTTCCTCACTGTATTAATCTATTAACCTTAATTTTGTGATTTGCATTCAAAATACGTTAATTTACTCTTTGCCTGTGACATCACGGTCTGTTTGAGGATAAATTAAATATGACAAATATGACTCTGCCTTTTCTGTAGCATTTTAATGAGAAGGAAGAAATAGTTCTAAAATGCAGTGATTCATTTTCGTAATGCTAAAATTCATCCAGATTCAAAATTCTTAATAATTTTAAGAAAACTTGAGTTTACTTCTACTAAAATGTATTTTTGTGTATTTGGGGATGCAGTTACGCTGAAAAAGAAGTAGTTTGTGGATGGAACGGGTTATTTTGTGAAGGAAGTATTTTAAAATTAAATGTTTTTAATTGCTTGTTTTTTCAATTATTTTGACAAATATGACAGTTTTTTCAAGAATAATCTTCTTGTTGTGTTCTCTTTACCACACATAGCAATACCTGTTATATTCTTCTGATTATACGGTAACATCTCTTATATCTCAATTTAATAGTATAGCATTTCTTGCTATATTTCCAGTTTCTCAAAAGTATACTCTTTTTAAAGTGTTAATATTTACACTTTGACAATGGTGAATGTTTTCACAGCATTATAGCCACCTCCCAAACTTCTTAAATTAAAAGATAATAATGAGAGTAGTTATATAGTGTTGTAAAAAGTCATCTGTGCTTCCATAAAACTTGCTGTAGGAGGACTAAGAAGAAGCTGAGTAAAGAACTCTCACAAGGCAATGGTAGAATACATTGATGTACTTTACTAGACTTTTGGATCATCTAGGATATTCTTTGAAAGTTCTGCAGAGTATTCATATGTTCTTCATGGTTTCACAGTATGCTCCAAAACTTCTTCATTATGCTGCACAAACCACTGATCACTACTCATTGCAAGAAGGCGTTGGGTTAAATTCTGGACTTTTAAAAACTGAGGCATATTGATAATTTCACATTTGGCACTTCCATATATTTCAAAGAACTTTCACACCTTGAAGTTCTTTTTTCCCAAGAGGAAACAGCTATCACACAGAATAGAAGCTATACTTGAAACCTCTACATCCTCACAAAAGCCCAGTACAAGAAAGTCCCACTTCCTCTGTCTGTTCCACCCATACTCTTCAACTCTGACCTAAAAGACAGACCTGAGAGAGTCCGACCTTAGTGAGTTTCTCTAACCCTTCTGTTTAGACTATGAGCAAGGAAAAAAATTGCTTTCAAGTCTGCTTTTTCTTTACTGGGACTATCCTCTAGAAACAGGACTGAAAACACCAGATCATATCCCATCAGCTGCTGCGTGGATAGTCCAGCATGTATCAGTCAAATATGAACCGGAGCTGAGCTGCTGAACAGTGAATAGCTTTTTCAAGCTTTATCAAACTTCTTCCCTCCTATATATGTCCTGATTTAGTAATTTGTGTTTAATTATCAGTTCTTAGTCTTTAGAAATACTTAGATGTCATTTGGAGATAGCAATTAGCTGTTTTATGTAGTAACAGGTACAAGGAACATATATGAGAATGCAAGATGGATTATAAAAATTTACTCAGGTATATAAATTTCTCTTAACAACTCAACTAATTAATTACATTTTGTTTTAGGTATTCACTGGGATATTCACAGCAGAAATGGTACTAAAGATAATTGCCATGGACCCTTATTATTATTTCCAAGAAGGCTGGAATATTTTTGATGGTATTATCGTTAGCCTTAGTTTAATGGAGCTTGGTCTTGCAAATGTTGAAGGATTATCTGTTCTTCGGTCATTCAGACTGGTAAATACCTTGATAAATAAATATTTGCATGCAATTGTCTCACTCAAAAAAATGTGCTGACCTCTGTAATAATTACCAGTGTTGTAAAGATATACTATATAATTAAATGGCTCACACTATTTTTCATATATGCCTAGTTTGCAAACCATATTTGATAAGTGCAAGTTTAAGGTGTTTGTCAGTTGATATCCTTTGATATCTTTTGGTATCAAATTACCCTTTTGATAGCCTATCCTACTGATATCTTCTGCGACCATAACTAACTTGTATCTTCTGAGAATTTCGTAAGTCTTTGTTATACTGATTTCATTAAGATTAATCAAAGCTGAATATCTGAAAAAAATATACATATTGCCACCAGAGTAAAGAATCATAACATTTTTAGTTTTTATATTATGAACTTTACTTTGTGTTACTCATAAAGCCCCTGAGTAGATCCTCTCTTTACAACTTTTCTTTTAATGGGCACCAAGAAAAAACATTTAGTAACTCCATTACGTGTAACCAAGGGTCATAACAATCTGACTTTAGGATAACACTTACACTGAAATATTATTGACCTTCTACTAGAAATGTCTTTTTTATAGCAATTAGTTTTATACACAAACTAATTTATAGGTATGTTTACTGAAGGCACAACTGTCATGATTTAAAAGTCTGTATTACTAATTGTTATCGCATTGCTTGAAAACCTAGGTTATTTCCTAATACATAGAGCAGGAAGTAGTGACTTAGTTGATTAGTGCCAGTTGCCATGGTACCCAACTTCACATGCTATAGTTTCGTTACTGAATATTATTTTTAAGTTAGTGTTTATGATTTGAATGGACATCATAATATCAGCATCAAATTGTTGCTTCAGAAATTGTCCCCTAAGCAAGCCTGAAAGATCTAATGTTGTGCTGAGGGAAATGCAGAACCAAGCCAGCAAAAAGGGAGTAGTGAAGGTGATGAAAAAAGTACAAACTGCTACAATGTCTCTAAGTAACTTAGTAATACTGTAATCATTTGTAAGTGGATGTTTAAAAATATTAAAATCAAATGTGGTACAAACACAAATTATGGGTTTTTTTCTATGTGCATCACTAAGATGAAATGCTGAACACCACAGTTTAGGCAAGTACCAAACTCCTTGCTTCCTGCTTTCCATTCAAATAATCGTATGTTCCTACTGAAGAACAAATTAATCTAAAGAAACTGGTATGTTCTGCTAAACAACTTTGACCTAGCTTCTATTTCATAACTAACACTAATGATGCCTCTGCATTTTTGTTTTTCAGCTTCGAGTTTTCAAATTGGCAAAATCCTGGCCAACTCTAAATATGCTGATTAAGATCATTGGCAACTCAGTGGGGGCTCTGGGGAATCTGACCCTGGTGCTGGCCATCATCGTGTTCATTTTCGCTGTGGTTGGGATGCAGCTATTCGGGAAAAGCTACAAGGAATGTGTCTGCAAGATCTCCAGTGACTGTGTGCTTCCACGCTGGCACATGCATGACTTTTTCCACTCTTTCCGTATTTCGAGTGTTGTGTGGAGAATGGATAGAAACGATGTGGGACTGCATGGAGGTTGCAGGCCAAACCATGTGCCTTATTGTTTTCATGCTGGTCATGGTGATTGGAAACCTAGTGGTATGTGATGAGCATTTTTGAACGTTAGTTCTGGTGCAAAATATACATAACTTACAGCTAGGCAATGAGAATGTTTGCCATACTTCTGTTTAGAATTAAAAATAAAAAATCTGGATGTGATAGATTTTGGGTAAAAATGTATTATGATTCCCTTCTCTCCCTTTTCGCTCATGTCCATACACTGAGGTACTCTCACTATGGTTGCAGGAATTTAGGGATACACCAAAACATCAAATCAAACACCCTATCATGGGAGAGCTGCAGCTAATTTAGTGGTGCTGTTTAAATCCAAGTATCTTCTTAACTGCTCTTGAAATAATAAAGCTCATGCTGCAACAGCTCCTGGGAAGCTGCTTCTTCAGAGAAAAAAATCTAATGGACTTTCTTATGCCCGTCACAGCTAATTCCAACTCTAATACTAATGACTTAAAAAAAATAAAGTATAATATAGATGTTCTTATATAGAATATCTTGAATTCAAGTACTGAACTTTCTGGCCTGCTTAGGTGTAAACAACAAAAACAAAACACATATTGATTTGATGTCCATCCTAAAAATGAGTTTGAAATATTCTAACTCAAAATTATAGAAGAAAATTTTTTAATTCAAGCTGACAAGTTAAAATGCCAAAAGTTCAGTTGATAAATATTGAATTGATGAGAACTTCTTAGAAATCAGGATTATAATTGGAATGTATAATTTACACTTCTGCTTTAAGTTTACTGTTAATCTTTGCAGTTTGTTCTGATATGCCTAAAAGCTGTATTTCATTACTTGTCAAAATTCTCTTCCTTTAGTGATATATTTCAATGTGATTTAAATTTTTATAAAATAGTATTTGAAGTGTTCATATCCTAGTTGTTTATATGACCTTGCAATCTTGATATTATATCAGCAGAAGTGTGCAGAACCCCAGAAAGTTATTTATGCCCAGTAACCTGCTCCACTATTTTTTTTAGTATTAGCTTCAGCATAGAAATTCTGTTTCAGATTCGTATTGTCGTCTTTATTCCAAGTGTCTTTTTACCTCCGGGTTCTTTTCTGGAATTGTGAAAGTCTGCGGAGTTAAATGTTATAAAGAGTAAAAATGAGAGACCAAACATATTTAACTATGAGGAAGTTTATTTATGCCATTTTGCCATATCATGAAAACTTTTGATGTGTGGTGGTATACGAGTATACAAAAGTATGAAATATTAAGTGCTTGAAAGCTTTAGTGAAATAGCTACAGTTTATAGTAGATTATATTAAAACAAGATGATTAATGATGTTTGAATTCTGAGGCAATAAACCACAGTTCTCAGGCAATGCTGGTGCTAAGATTGTTACTGCTGATGAAAGGAATCTATTTTATTTTTAAATTCCTACATAAGAGGAAACAAAATTTTCATTTTTTGCCAAGTGAAAAAGGAAAAAAATCCAATTACAAATAATATAGTATTATTATAAATAACAAAGATTAAAGTGTAGAATTCATTTTTAAATATTCCTTTTATCTTGTTATGAGAAGCTTTATAGAACTTAAGAGACAAGCTCAGAATTAACAGAAAATCACAGTCTCATGCTATAATCTTCCAGATAGAAAGTGTAAGTAGATTATTGTAGCATTAACTGATATATTTCTAAAATATCTGCATCATAGAAACTCATCTAACTTTACAACTTATGTTTATTTAATTCTACTTACAATCCAAGTGATTTTAAGAGATTTAGAAGACTTTCAAACTTCTGATGAATGTGTATAGCTAGAATTTTTGTAACTTTTTAAAAATTTTAGAGTCTAAGCAACCACGTGGCTTCAAACAAAGATCAAAAAGTTTAAAATAATTAGGTATTATAGCTTGTTTGTTTTCATCTTATGAATGAATACTGATAAAAACAAGTAAGGAGATCTTTTGCTATTTAAGGTGCTATGTGTTTGTCTAAAATTAGTGAATGTTGGTTTTCAAAACAATGTGTGCTATTTGACAGTATTCTGTACATATGCTCACTTCTTATGTGTCTGTATTTGCTATACAGCTGTATTCTCTCATCTTCTAGGTATTGAACCTGTTTCTGGCCTTGCTGCTCAGCTCATTTAGTTCAGACAATCTTGCTGCTACTGATGATGACAACGAAATGAACAATCTCCAGATTGCTGTGGCAAGGATTCAGAAGGGAATAGATTATGTTAAAAAAAAGATACAGGAATTCATCCAAAAAGCCTTCGTTAGAAAGCAGAAAGCTTTAGAGGAAATCAAAGCACTTGAAGAGCTAAACAACAAGAAAGACAGCTGCATTTCCAATCATACTGCTGTTGAAATAAGCAAAGATCTGAATTATGTTAAAGACGGGAATGGAACCACCAGTGGTGTAGGCACAGGCAGCAGTGTGGAAAAATATGTAATTGATGAAAACGATTACATGTCATTCATAAACAACCCAGGCCTCACTGTGACAGTGCCAATTGCAGCTGGAGAATCAGATTTTGAAAATCTAAATACAGAAGAATTCAGCAGCGAATCTGATATGGAAGAAAGCAAACAGGTAGGATTTTTTTGTATCTTAACAATTAAATTGCAGCCATGCATTTACATATCTCTTAATCACATATTTTGAATTGTTTAAAAACTGTCTTATGCCATGTAAATGTAGTTTATATTTTATTATTTTATGTAATTATAATTCAAGAAAAAAATTGCCCTACGTGATGGTATACTAGGGGTCCTTAAGATTTTACACTTTTAATACTCTGTTCACTAGCATTTGGAAGATGTATCATTTTAAATATGATTATTTCTTTCACAATTCTATGAGGTTTTAGGACTAGTACATATTTCATAATGCATTTTTTCTGTAGTACCCATAATGCGATCAGGATTTACAGAATGTGAGTATTGTAGAAGGCTAAGGAACAATCAGGATACAGCTTTGCATACCCAATCAAATAAGTGGGGAAAAAAAATCTTTCTATATGTAGGGTAGTTCTAAAAATGAATGCTGAGACATCATAAATCAGTGATCTATTGTGGATTATCTAGAAAGTTTTGTGAGTAATATTCATACAGATTTTGGGTCCAGAGACTATGGCTGGCTAAATTGAAGTAATCCAGATACCAATCAATGTCATGATAAAGTCGTATCTCAAGTTACCCTGGAGAGCAGAATAATTTTGTAATATAGATGCATGTGGAAACAGTTTACTTGAAAGCCTTATGCTACTGTTATTGTACAAAGAGACAGAAGTTGGTCTAAAAACCAGAAGCCATGTGCCTCAAAATATAAGTGGTTCAAATACCAGAAGTGGTTATGAACAGGTGATACTGGTATTCAACACTTTGTATGTTGGAGTAATGACCAATGACAAGCTAATACATGCATTAGCAGAATATAAATATACCCAATGCCATTAGAAATATACAAAATGTCAGATTTAAGGGATCAGGAACCATGGATAAGTATGTTTTCAATTAGATTAGAAGTTACGATGCTGTGTGATAATTCATTGACACAAAAGGGTTTGTTTACCATAAAGTTATTTTATAAAGAAGCCGTGCGTTCATGACTGTGTCATAGCTGTACAGCTGCCAGACTTGCAAATAATGCTGTATTCCTCAGCAATACGAAACTATACCACATAACATTAACAGATAGCCATGATCCAGTTAATCATAAAGGAACATAGTGTGTGATTATTTGCAACTGCAAAGAAGATTGCTCTGCATAACAACTGTAAGATGAAGAGCAAGATATTCTATCATCATCTGACTGAGTTGCTCAGTTATGAGACAAACATTTTCAATGCAGGTGTGTAAGACAGCAGTAGTGCTTATCCATGGCAATTTAAGAATGTAAGAGATTCAGGAAGTGTAAAGTGATAGAATTTATGAGATCAATTAGTATCAAAAAACAAGCTTTCAAAGTGACTCTGGGTCTGAGAGTTAAGTATTTTTCATGTAAACTGATCTAATAAAAGTTAGTCTTTTCCAATGAACCTTTAGCAAAGTCTTGTAAGTATTTTCATATATTCTGATGTTCTTTAAAATGACGTTTTACTATACATTTTCTGCATTCCTTGTGCTTAGTTTTGATAAATACAGTGATGAGTGCCTTCCTAGTAACTCCATCTTATGAAGTCACATACCTAAAAATTTCCTTAAGAAGTTACTTTTTAAAAAGTTCATAATAGGAATTAGGAAGTTGGGAGGCTTATAAGCTGTGCAGATGCTAAACGTGCAGTTGTGTGACATGTTAGCCTCAGCAGCAGAGCTGCCTTGGGAAGTTCCCCTCCATGCCTGGCCCCTGATCCCCTGGCAGTCTTTACCACTTCCTCTGCTACAGTGCTTGTGGGTCCGTAAGGCACGTCACTGGAGTGATGTAAGTTAAATAACATCATCTCATAAGTATCATTTGTTTATTTCTTCTTTAAGATAGATCGAATGGTTCAGTTTACAGCGTACTGCCACATAGTCTATCAGAAAGCTGAGGACAAAATAAAATGCAATGCAAAGGCAGAAACTCCTCTGCTTTCCAAGTGAATATATGATGTAAGTACAATGCAAGAAAATGGAGTAAGAGCCCTTGTTGTGCTGAGAACTTCTGAATGATACCAATTTCAAGGTGAATTTCACAAGTCAATTGCTCTGTTCGTTCACATCTTTTCTTGGTTCAGCCATCATGCTTTTTTCTTCGAAGGCCATTCTGAAGTTTCAGGACTGTACTAAATAAAAAGGGATTTTGCCTTTTTTTATGGACTTTAGATGTATCTGTATGTCTTCAGGAAGAGAAATCAAACTCAAAAGTCTGTACAAGCAATTTGAAAGTGAAAATTTCAGGTGACTGTGGGAAACCCGCCAGTAAATGATGGATGGTGTATATATTAAGAACTCATGAATAAATTTTCAATGGGGATAGGATAAGTTTAGGACTTCTGCTGAGCCTCAGGATTTCCACAGAATGCAATAATTATTACCATTGCAAAGCTGGAGCAACAGTGCTTCCCTCAAGTTCCACTCACACACAACTATCTAGCGTGTAACTGTCTGACATGTATTCATACCGTGCAAGTGTGCATAGTGTGAATGGTATCTAATAACACAGGAATTTCTTACCAGTGCCCTGAAAACTGTGAATTCTATATTAATTGCAGTTTCTGTTCTGGATTCCTTATTCCATTCCTTCTGGATGATATTTTGGGGAAGCATAAAGTGGGGGTTTTTTATTGTGTGTATAAAAATCCACCTGCTTTGGTAATATATGAACAGACGTTCTGATGTGTGACATGAATTTATGAAGATTTCCAATCTTTTCGTACCGAGTTGACAGTACTGTTGAATCCTTTGCTACCTTCTGATTGTCTTTTGAGGAAGATAAAGAGTATATTGGTGCAGTGTTTAAGTTACCTCTCTAGAACAGTACACCATCATTTGCTTTATTTTTCCTTAAGGCCGGGTCTGCAAAAGGAGGGGTAAGAGATGGGGCAGAACTTTCCCCGCCTTAACTGTGGCAGTACTTAGCACTTAAAATACCCTCAGGAGCTATCCCCTTCAGTAACTTTTTATTTAACAGCAGAGCTGTGGGAAGATAGATCTGCACAGGAACTGTAAAATGAACCATTTTTTCTGGTAAAAAATGATGGCCTGCCATCAGTGGCCGTCAGTAATTTTCTGGTGTCTTACTGACTGCCACTGATGTTAAGAACAGAATGATTATTTGAAGTCTATCAGCAATAACAGGTCATGCTAAAAGTGGGGCAGGGTCTGTGTGCCCCTGAGGGATATGCCAAGAGCAGGTAATTACTATAGAAATTGTAACTATGGGTAAGTGAGGAACAAATTGTAATTTTTCCTATTTTCACTATCAGATATACTATGGTACAAAATAACTCTAGCCACCAGGTCTCTTTTGGAAGGCTGGTTCCCTTTTTTTTTTTCCCCCTTTCATAAAAACACTTTCTAATTAATATGCTAATTAATAACTTCCTAAATCTGCCAGAACCTATTCTGGAACCTGGTTGCAAGGTCCAGACCTAAACAGATCTTTCTCACACATATCACTAGATATTTGGGGAAGTCTCTGTTTGGATGAAACATAACAACATTTATTAGATTTAAAAGTTACCCACTGCCTTAGAGTAATAGTTGGCTGAAAGTACCTGAAAGAATCAAATATTTCACTGATACTTTGAAGGAGAATTTTGTCAGTATCTACTATCAGAAAACAGAGGTGCAATACCCAGTGAAATAACCATCAGAAGTAACGGATTTCCGTTCTGAAAATAAGATACTTGAGATAATTAACTTTAAAGATAATAAGAAAATGAGAAGTAACTAAAGGGGCTAATTTGGCGCTTTTTTAAAGTTAGCATTGTGGATGCTGTTTCTACTATAAAATATGCTTACTAATCAGTGAAATGAATGGACTACGTTAATCTCACCTAACATAAGACTCCTAACTATGGTATTTCTGTACAAGTTAACAACTCTTCATTATATCTGAATCACAACTTTATGAATCAAGGACTAAGTTCAGTTTTCTGATCGGGTTTCCTAGTGCGTTTGTGACTAGGTGAAGTAAAAAGACAGAAACACAGTTATTACATTCCCAAAAGTTAAGCACTGCCATTGGCCTTCAATAAATTTCGTAGCCAAAACATACCCAGCAGTGATTTGATCAATTTGTTGGATGATTTTTTATCACATTTCTTTCAACATATCCAACAATCTAAATTCCCCTTTTCTAAAACTGACCAATTCTGGGACAGTATCATCAAAAATAATTCTTTATGTTATGGACTAGCTGTGTATAACTAACGAATGAAACCGTATATCTGGATACACTGATGGGCCACTGTCCAGACACCAATCCCAAGAGTTTATAGAGTCCAAAGTATATAGCATACTAAATCTAAACTAGAAACTTACACAATATGATACTTCATCACATTTAATTTGAACTGAAATTAATGAGGTTTATTTTCATTGAGATCTGTAAGTTCTATGACTATTATTAGAGGAGGAAGAAGAAATAGAAAGACATGCATCTTCAAAGCATTTTGCTTACTGTATGTACGTTTTTTGAGATAAAAGGTATAATCACATAGTCAGTTAAATGAAGACTAGAACTTTAAACCAAAAAATCCCTTAACATCTTATTAATAGGCATTAAGCACTATATAAGTACTGGAATACTTTCCAAATCTGCTAACCATGTCTTTATTAATTTAATTGATTGTATTTTCATTTATGAATCACAATTTCAGACTGCGGATTATAAGGTCTAGCTTCTGCATTTCTTATTTCTCTAAAATAAACTAACAAGTTCTGCAGAAAAGTTTGTTGAACATTTCAGGTGGTATGTATTTCCCTTTTTGCCAACTGATCATAAAATATTTAATAATTATGTTTTAATCGTGTTAAAGCCATGTTTGAATTAGAGATTCCAAAAAGAGGAAAACTAGAGAACCTGTGTCTTGAACTTCACTACCTACCATTCTTACTTCTCACAGGGGTAAAACCAAGCTGGAGCAACAAGAATGCAGCTCTGGTGCTTTTTAACCAGGTAGAGCAACGTGTCACCACTTTCACACAGGTTACCTAAGCAAGTTATACATATATATGTATATATATATATAATCACTTTTTAATGGATTTTGACTGGCCTGCATGCTCTTCAGCTATGTACCTTCCCTATCCATTGCAAGACAGTAGAAACATGCACAGCTGCTCTCTGCTGAGTCATGGGACTCACATCACAGCATGGTCAGGTGGGATTGGCAACCCCAACATACATTTTTTTAACTCTGCTAATGATTTTTCTGGATAATTTAATACAGTATTTAGCAATAACTGCATGCTCTACAGGTTTTGAAGTATGGATCATACAAAATACTGGAATGTTATATGTTAAAGAGGCCAAAGAAAAAGGGAGCATGCATAGTTTTTAAAAAATAAAAATAACCCTTTTTGATTCAGCCCTTATAAATGTAAATATTTAATGAAATGTGTTGAGTGATTTATGTAATAATTACTGCCACAGCTTTAGCTCCTTAATGAATAACATTTAAACTTTTGCAGTAGCTACTCGCATAAAAATTACAGTTATACTTTTAAATCTATAATGCACTGTAATTCAGATCTTTAAGATGCTACAAACTACATTCAGTATTCATTTGGGTAGTGCATATCTTGAGTTTTATAAATTGCAAGCAGAGCAAACAGTTTCATAATTGCTAAAATTATACTTAGCAAATAACCCCCCTTAAAAAACTCTCAAATCAAAGCATTTTACAAATACTCTTTTCTTAAACTTTAAACTTAATAAGTTTAAACTCCTTCATAAAAAGTGGTATTTTGCAATGTGTTTCATGACAGCAGTCTGTGTCTGAGTTGGGGGACTTTACTTGGTGTAAATTAGAAAGATTATGGAGTAGTTGGCATAATTTTTGTAAAATTCCATGTATATTTACTCTAGGGTTTTTTTCATTATGGGCAAGTATAATGTCCATTTATGCATAATTGGCAGAGCCTTCAGGAATAGGGACAGCAAATATTGCACAGGAGCCAAAGTTACATGAAACTAAGGAGGTCAAATTACCCTAGTGAAACTTGGCGTCAAAATTTTGTTGGGATTGAGATTTCAGTCCTGTAGCAGGATTCACAGCTGTTGCCTTCAGCAAAAGGATAACCAAATGGTTTGTTTGCACCATCGATTAGAATGTAGTGTGATCTATCTATATTATATCATAGTATAAATTGTCCAGAGATGCCAAAAGAAATTCATATTGGTGTGTATTCTGGAAATTCTCAGATTTTACTGATTAAATCTTTAACCAAGATATGCTTCAATCATCAAATAAAACTCTAAGGAGATTTTTAAACTGGTTTTCTTAATATTATATAAAAGTCAAATATCATAAGATCTGAGATTTAAAATCAGTTTAGAATCACTCTGAAATCATTGATCCCCATCATTTTATATTTTGTCACTCAATTACAGTGCAGCTTTCAAGATTCAAAGGATAAAACTACATGGCTGAATTACTAAAGGCAATTTGTAATGGCTGAATCCCTTTATTTTATTGTCACTTGAATCATGAAGCCGTTTGTAAAGCTTAAAATTTTAGGAGCCTGCTCTTGCTCTTACTGATATCTAGAATAAAATCAAATGAGAGCAAGACCAGGTCTTAAGTGAATGCATTTTCTTGTAAATGGGCACATTAACATGCTGTTGGTCAAAGCTTGTTTTAATGGTCTAAGCTGTTGAAAAGAGATGCATTGCTCTGAAAGGACAGTATGGAGGCTGATTATACATATTAACCAAGTATTTGGGTTGGTGATGAAGCATTTTTTAATGTTATATTGTATACAATAATATTTATAATACTATTTTCAGAAAAACATAATCCCATTGAGGTAGTCTTATTTTTTATTTTATTTTTGTGTGTGATTTCCACAGTATTGCTCAGGCTTCTGCTCTAGTCAAGCATGTTGTTTTGCTGATTCAGGCCTTGAGAATGCTGCATCATAAGCAATTGCTTTCAAATGTATCCTTGCAAAGGAAAATGTGATATCATTGAAGATACAAATACATATTTACAGGGCATGGCGTATTCTAGAGGCTGATAATCACATTTATGACATGAAAAGAAGATTGTGTTATTCCATCATGTATCTTGAGTTTACTATTAGTTTTATTAGTTTTATTGCTATAAAAAAAAGATCATCAAAGTTGCCTTAATTACAATGCAATGGTTCTTTCCTAATTTAGGGGTTTTGAAGCAAAGAAGAGAAGTTTTATTAACTTAATGAGGTTTTTTTAATAATGCAATTGTTTGAGATTATTTGAAAAATAATGAAGAGAATTATAGTAGGTTTTGTTTGTCCCAGTTATGAATTGAACTTCTGTCACTTGATTTTTAGCAACTATGCTGACAGGACTATCTGCAACAGAGTTTACATGGGAAGAAGCAGTTAAAAAATTGACTGCCTTTTAATTGGCACTCATCTATTGATGCTTACTACAAACTTTATCTTGCTACTATTAAGTAATTGATTTAATGATGATGGACCAGGCCATGAATTCGTTTTCATTTTCCTAACTTGAATGTGATAAGCCATTATTTTCACAATATTTGGGTTTTATTTAATGAAGAAACTGCCTACAATTTCAGTGACAGGTTTCAGACTTCTGATTTCTTTGCATGACAACGAAATATAATAAGAGAATTAATCCACAAATCTTATTTCTTTTTTAAAAGAGAGCCTTCTGTGTGGATAATAAGGTGGTGTGCTAATAATGCTTAATATAGTGTACATTAATGTGCATTTTGGTTTGTAAAAGTAACAGAGAAAGCAAAGTTTTAAATATTCTCACTATATGAGGTACACAAAATATTTATTTCAGACTTACTGATCTACATGACCAGTAATAAAATGATTCCATTTAGAGACAATACGGTCAATTTAGGGCAGCTTCTTAAAACTTAATTCTGCAGTTATCCATTACTCAACGTGGATTTTTTTTTAAACTTCATTCATCTCATATAAAAGTTGAATATGAGGAAAGAATTGCTTACCAAACTATATAAAGATATATGTGCCATTTACTTCATTCCTGGCAGAAAAAAAGCCCTTAGCTCCCAATGCACTTTCCTGAAGGTACTGGGTTTTAACTGAAGAGCTGAATAACTAGTTTTAATTTTCAGCATTGTCTCTGAAGGAAAGAATACATGGAAATGTCTCCTTAACAAGTTACTGTTTACTATCTATTGCAAATCATTCAAATCATCTGAATAGCATTTTTTTATATATTCTAAAAATGTCACCAGCTTGAAAACTAAATGTGAAAAGCACTTGGTATTAAGCAGTCTCTCAAAAAATTTGTATAGAAAGGTCTTTGCATAGTTCAAAGGGCATGACCAGACCTGCTTAGCTGAAACCACAAACCTAGCCTCTGACCAAATGCCCTTCTGTTGCATCAGGGCCTATACAATTTAAAGTATTTGTTAGAGCTGCATTATAGATCTCCCTCGAAATTCCAGTGTTTTACTGTTGCATGCTATAAACCAGATGTATTTCAGCACCACGATTTTTTTAATGTTGCTTTCTGATTACAAGCCTTATTTCACGGTAAAATAAAATGTATTTCGGATGAAAGCAATTAAAGACACAAACAGTACTGATAAATGAAAACAGATTACAAACTTGATGTCGAATTATTGCATTAGTTGTGTGTATCTTTAGCAGGTTTGTCCTTTCAAAATATGCTTTCTTAAGAGGACAAAATTATGGGCAGTCTTGCATGACTGATAAACAGCTTGACTTGATCGAAATTTCAGTGTACTTGGTAAAAAGTTACATAATTTCAGTTGCTTTGTATCACTCTCCAGTTCTTGCAGTTTTCAGATCTACAAGTGCTTTTATTGTAGTAAGGACTACAATATTTCACTGTACACAAAAGTAGGAGAACGATAGAAAAATTTGGCATGGAAAGGACCTCAGGAGGTCTCTCAATATGCACAGGAGATTGGAAGGCAAAGAAGAGATTTCAGTTCTGGTAATTTGTGCTTCCTGCAAAAATTAAATTGTGCAGAAATTTACCGTTAAATTCCATTAAATTTACAACTTTTTAATCCAGATATGGTGTATGTTTGTGAAAACACCATCTGTAGTGGACATGAAAGATACATGTGGAGCTTTCTGTTAGTTCATTTTGCTGGGAAAACTAAGACACATTTTCAGTGTAATCCAGTATAGTAAAGAAATGAAATAAATGGAGAGTGTGGTACATGCAAGCTCTCCAGTTTTAATATTGCTGAGAATACTTCAGATGTCTCATATGTGGATCAGGTTAGTAGCCAAATTATATTTAATTGTTCCCTGTGAGAAGATAAACTGAGAAACAGGACTATATGATGTATATCTCATTACTATGTTTTTACTTACGGTGATGCATATTTATCAGAGTATAAATATAGCATTCGTCCCAAGTCAGAGACTGGTATGACTTGACTCAGTATCGTTTTTTACAGAATATGTATCTAATGAGAAAAAATTGTTCTGTGGAACTTTACTTGCAGAAACTAAATGCATCCAGTTCATCAGAAGGCAGCACAGTTGATATTGCCCCTCCTGGAGAGGGCGAGCAAGCAGAAATCGAAAGTGAAGAAGCTCTTGAACCAGAAGCCTGTTTTACAGAAGGTTGTAGAATAACTGTTGACTTAAGAGATGTATTAGTAAAATGGCATTATTACTAGACATATTTAAGTTCTTGAGATTTTCAAATCTGGTGGACCTTCATGACCTCAACAACTGAAACAAAATACTCCTAGCCTAGAATGCTGGAAATCAGATGCCAAAACAAGGTTTCCCTAGGCTTTGTGTAACTTTATCTGCCTGGCCACTGCATACATCTTGAAACTAAGAAACTTCATTAACTTTTCTGTTCTTCAAATGCTTTTCAGTTATTTGAAGGGGCCATTGAAATTTGGAACAAATGAATTTTTGTGAGACTCCATCAATGAATGGAAAAGTTACACGCCAGCAGTCAAAAATGTCTATGTTTTTTGGATTGAGTTTACTCATAATTGTGTCTAGCATTGTCTGGTTTCTCTCCAAATTACTTGTCTAAAATGAGGTATTCAGGATCCTATAAAAGAAGATTCCACTGTTTAATTTTAAGAAACACTAAAAAATTTGTTAAAGCTCCTAACAATGTTGATAGCACAGTAAATATTGACTTTGAAATAATTTAATTTTGGATTGTAATATCTCTTAATCTAATGCAGGCTGTGTGCAGAAATTTCCATGTTGTCAAGTAAGTATAGATGACGGCAAAGGAAAAATTTGGTGGAATCTTAGAAAAACCTGCTACAGCATAGTTGAGCACAACTGGTTTGAGACTTTCATTGTGTTCATGATTCTCCTCAGCAGTGGAGCACTAGTAAGTAGAAAAAAATTGCATACGCTGAAATATTTAGGTATCTCCTTAAAAGCAACAGCAAAATTCAAATTTGCTTTACAAAGACCTGTTTTGCTTGGAGCTGCATAAAACTACCTGCATTCCATCATTTCAGGATGGAATGAAACTTGGCCCAAACTTGAAAAAGTGTTAAATTTTACATGCACTTTTTAGTGATACTTTTGATTTACCACTGTAAACCTGGTGCAACTCTATTTAAGCCAGCATAGCTGCTCAAGATTTAAATTGCCTGCCAATTTTCAACATGTTCATCAAGAGAACTGAGCATTGTTAACTATGAATATATAGCTAAATGTATGATATCAAGTCCTTAATTCCTCCTAGGCTCAGCCACTTTTTGGATTCTGCTTATGAAAGACCATACAAAAAATGGAATAATTACTTCATTCTATTCCTTTTTTGGAGGCAGGAGATAGGGAAGAGTGTGACAGCAAATTAAACCTAACAATCACTTTCCAACCAGATTTACATTACCCAACTTTCCAGCTTAACTCAAGTTGAACATTTGCTACAGTATGAATGTGCATAGTGTACCTTCTAGCAAGGACATTGCTCTCTAATTTGACTTTTAGGCATAAGTTTGATTGATGGAGGATAGAAATGTAATCTCCCTAACTGCTTTCCAGAATGGAAAATCTCCTTTGTATAAGAAGGGGGTTTTTTTGTGTGTGTATGTGAAAGTTTCTTAATACCACAGTGGACGAAAACTCATGCTTTAAATTTATTTCTTCATTCATTAGTGAGATAGGATATATATATATATACTTTCAACCCCAGACAGGGCAGAATATGTAAAGTTGTTCCAATCTGTAGTATGGTCAAAGATGTGAAATATGTAAAATAAGAGGATGCAGAAGAACATGGGGAAAGATTAGCTCTGGCCTACTCATTTTTTATTGATGTATTCCTTATTTTTATTGTGTCTATTCTGTGAAACATTAGTAGTACCTGAATATATTTTTTTCACAGGCTTTTGAAGATATATATATTGAACAGCGCAAAACTATCAAGACCATGCTGGAATATGCTGACAAAGTTTTTACATATATTTTCATTTTGGAAATGCTTTTAAAATGGGTAGCATATGGTTTTCAGATATATTTTACTAATGCCTGGTGCTGGCTGGACTTCCTGATTGTTGATGTAAGTACACAGTCTTTAATATTGTAAAATTCACTATGGTAAAGTCCTTTATATTGTAAAACTCATTAATACTAAGTTTTCTTACAAACATGCAAAAATAATTCACATTGTATAATTACACTGCATTAGTAATAGACTGCAGTGATCTGGATGTGTTATTTAAAGTACATTTATATGCCAGAAGGAAAAGGATGGCTGGCCATCAGTTTGTTCATTCTTCATGGTTAATAATTTTGTACCCGGGATGTATCAAAAGATTTTATGAGGAAAAAAACTAATTTTGAAGCATGCTATTTTTAATGGACTCTGATCATACTACCTTATTCCTTAGCAAGTAAGACACTAAATTGTGCAAGTTTCTTCTACAAACACTGCAACTTTGCAAGTGAAACAATACATTTGGTCCAGATTGCGTCTGAGTTCTCAGAACTCCATCCCCTAAAACCACACTGTTATCATTTGTAATAAAACAGAAAGACAGTGGCTATTTGGTCCAAAAATTAGTTAGTTTTAATGGGCTGACAATCTCCAATAGTTAAATCAGCTATGACTTGGCAGGGGTTATGACAGAAGAGAATACAAGATTTCCTGGCTGCCTTCCCAGCTGTGATATACTTCTGTGCAAAGGCCTTGCTTATGTTGTCAGAAGGGATCAAAGCTGGTTTTACTCCCAGAATATTTTGGTCTCTCGCCTTCATACATCATCTGACCTGTTTCATTGGCTATACACGTCCTCAGTGTGGAACTGAGAGATGGCATCTCAGGGCAAATCTGCATTTACAGTAATTTCTGCCCAAGCTACGGTATTTCTTGAGAAGTTTGTATAAATCCTTGCCCCACAAATACTTATTCTTTATGAATATATAATAGAAATGTACCAGATTTGTGACTCCCAGAGAAAAAAATACCTATCTAGATGTGTCTGTAACTCAAAATGGAAGACCTTCTCTTTTTTTTAACCTGCCCAAGTTAGTTTTGTTATACTGCTAATCTCTAGCTCTGTCCTGTTTATTTATTTAATAAACTACAACTCATGTTTTAATTATTCTTTTTGTAACATAAACCTAAAGAGTTTATTCTAAACCATACTCCACGGTTTCTTAATAATAGTTTAGCCTCAGAGATGCTGTTAACTGAGCAGGCTCTCAGAATTATAAAGAACATCATCATAAGTAAAGCAGCTTATTTTGCCAACTTTTTACTCATAATTTTTAATTTTATAAGCAAAAGCATGACTCAATGAGATTAGAACCTTCTACTTTTGAAGAATTATATTCAATGTTCCAGAAAGTGGTAAGAAATGTCTTACTGTGCCTAAGGCTAATTCAGCAATTCCTTTAGCACTACCAGACATCACTTGAAAGATTCAATAGATGAACTCATGTCATCTTCCTATAGAAAAGCAGAGAATCTACACTGCTTTAACAGGCAGGTTAAACAGGTGTGATTCAGTGGCATTCTCCCAGTGAGAACACCAATGAGCCCCTCTTCATCAGATGTGACCAAAGTTAATCAAATTGTTTAATTCAATCCTCTAAAATTATTCAAGAGTAAACACTGATAGTCCTTCAGGGCTTTGACCTTTAATATCTTACACACCTGAGTCTCTCACTGTGAGAAATAGCCAGAGTCGCTCTCAGTGATTGTGACCAAATTAGATTTTAATAATTACACAAAGAAATGGCAATTTTTGTCTCTGTCAGTTTACAGCCATGACAGATGACTCTTCGTACATCTGACTACCTCAGTTTAAGACCTTATCGTGCCATCTCTCCACCCTGCTCTTCTGCTATATGCAACAGTATCTGTAGCAAGGAGCAGATACTTGTGTGGAGTGCCTTATCTACCCAAAATCACAATCTGGTAAATTTGTTCAGTTAGTTCACATTTGTCGGTGGTTTAAGCTAAGAGACTAAATTTTGGATGCAGGCAGCTGAGAAGCAGGGATGTATTTGCTATTTGGGGGTAGATTAATTTTGGCAGAGGTATCCAGTAAAGGCTTGAGACAGCAGTATCTTAACCCAGTACAAGTAGATGCTATAGGGCATGTCATCCTGTACCTTGGTTTTTGCTCTTACCCCTTTCTCCAGAAGCCATCTGTCATGAGTTTATGATCTACAGCTGTAATGACTCTAAGTTGTCTTTGCCACATACAAAGCTAGAAGATAGAATGTCACGGAAGGAGACAGGAAATCTGGGAGTACCCAATGAGTTTGTCAGTTATTAAATTTGTGTAGTTTTCTGCTGCAATATGTAATCTTACATAATCTTAAATGGATACTGTTTTCTGCTGTATATTTTTAAACTTCAGTAAGGTAGTCCTATAATTTGGTATAGACACTTTATTTCTAGATTATTGTGTTAATGAATTGTACTTGAATGAAATGGAAATAAGTAACATTTAAAACAAATCATGTATTTGCCAAATACTGTGGGGCAGTAATGAATCTCTAAGTGGAATGAAATCTTCGACCTTCCTGAAATTGTTCATGCCTGATGAAATTCCAATGGGTACAGTTTTTGAACAATTACATGTAGCAAAACAACCCTCCAATTTGGCTTGTTGTATAGTACATCAAAAGTTGGTCATATTGATGGCTTATATAATATTTCTTCATATAGCTAAAAATGTTTCACGCTTTTTGTTAAAACAGTTATAGTAATTTAATTAAACTGTGCTCTCAACCTTTTTATTAGCTTTTCAGAATAATTAACTCAGCAGCAACATTCTGGAAAAGATCAGGGTCACATTATACCAAAATACTAAATCCTGTATGCACAAAGTAAGAGGCAACTGCTGCCTTGGCAACTTCATAATAAAAATAAGAAGAAATAGGATGAGCATATTGATGTGTTGGGAAACCAGGTACATAAAGAGATGTCACTTTGATAACATTGGATAATCCAGAAATTAATGAAATTAATTAATTCTTTCAAAGGGATATTTAGATGGTATATGCATGAAATACAAGGGACTTGCTCAGTGAGTTGGGAAACAGAATCATGCTTGCAATTTATGCATCTAAACAAAATAAATTTTGAATACTTGCCAGTAAAATACCATAAAATAAGAATTATTCACCAAGTACATATAGAAAAAATCGTATTATCTTAGCATAGGACCATAACATAAGAAAGGCTACATAAGGCATAAGAAAGGCTACATTAGGTCCAGTGTTCTGTCTCCAAGGGTGTCAGAAATGCCTATCTGGAAAACCAATAATACAGTATCTATATTTCAAACAATAAGAAAAATCATTAACTTCTCAACAGAATGAAAAATATTTGGATTTTTTTTTCCAAATCTTGCAGTTTATTTTTATTACTAGTTAAGTGTAATACCTGAACACTTAAACTACATGAAAGATAGGATAAGCAGTGTTGGAACTGTGGAGGGCCATATGCCACTCAGGACCTGGAATCAAATCACATAAATTAGCCACCTCACCAAGTAGCATAGAATTCATATGGATTAAAAATGCAGGCCTAAACAGAAATAAAGTCAACGTGGAGCTGTATGACCAACGGTCTGGCTCGGATGACAACCTTGACTGAAGATCTTGAGCAGGGCTAATTGTGACTGCTAAGCTGCAAAACACTTTTTTTGCAACAGAAAGTCTACATTAGAAGATCTGTAGACAAAAATGTGGACACACAACTGTCCAGTTTTAGGACATTAATGTAGAAATTCTTTCCACCATGTTGAATTCATTTTCATTTCTTAAAATTACTCCATCTGCATGTATTCCTATCTGAAAAGAAAGAAATTAATCTATTTATCAGTGTACAGGGTCATTTATTTTCTCACTAGCAACAAAACAAGTGGAACAGATGATAGAACACCAAGTTAAGAAGACTGAGAAAACCAGAGCAGTACAGAACAGCTGTATATATTCATGCTGTACATACAATAGAATTAATATCAAAGAAATCCAGGCAAATCTTTGCCTCTCATTCGAACTGTCCTTCAGAAGAAAATTGTGTTGTTTACAACAGTTGAAGTATTTCTCTGTGAAACAACTTCAGGTTTATGATGTAAGAAAGAGCACTAGCACCACGGTAAGAATGCTGCAAGTAGGTTGAAATGGAAAGCACAAACTAGGCTGGAGAATGATTTACAATCAGAACCTAAAAACTTCCAAAATACACAGTGCCACTGAAGTTACAGGAGCTACAGATATGCAACTAGCTTGCATGGAGTCTTGTTCCCGGAAGACAGCTAAGGCACAGTGCTAGTTTGGGAAGAAATGTATAAAATGAAGCAGCCATTAATGTGACTTTAATTTTAAAAGGTATGTCTTGCTCTCCCAGTGGGAGACATTTTTTTTAATATCTATTTCATAGTTTATTTTTAATCCATAAAATGTGTAGTCTTTACAGTAGAGGTTATTGTCATATCTGGATATCTTGTTGATGTGAGTGAATCAACGAATATTCTATTAAAAATACAGAAAATTCCTTGTCTTGTTATCTCTGGAATATATTTAGAGTGGCTAAGGATAGAAAGAACTCTCTCACTGTAGAATCACAGGACAAATAAATCATATTAATAACAATTACTAATAACAATTTCTGACAATAATTAATGTAATGGCAGAAAAAATAATGTTATCTCTTGTAAGTGAAAAGTTACAGACTACAGAAAATCAGTAATATTTTCTTCTTAATATGCTCATAAATCACATCAAGTTCCTTTACAAACTTATCCATTACAGCAATAAAATAAGCCTTTCCTTTGATAAAAACAATTACATCCTGATGTGTAATCCAGTTGAAAGGTATGAATTCACTAAAATGCTATTTTCTGTTAGATTAATATATATAGCAACATAGTAATGAATAACTGATTTCTGTCTGCTCTCAGATCGTCCTTTTGAGACATAATCTTGTAACTCTCGTGTTTGTGATTCATCTAATTGTTCTTTATGGATACAAGTAAGATAGGAAACCACCTTTTCATATAACGGGCAAAATCTTATCATCATTATCAGTGAATGCCTATTTCTGTACAGCCAATTATTTGAAGAACTCTCTAGACTGAGGTACAGAAATGAACATTTGAGGGATTTTTTCAAGGACTGAAATCAGCCTATGTTCATTTACGTGTTTTCTATGCTTTTGGTGGTAGAATTGAATGAAATATGAGTAAGGTATATTTTCCCACTCCTGTGTCCAAAACCGCTCCAAGTAAGTAAATTAAATTCTTTCACATTAACATTGTTTAAAACTCAGTTCCATTTGAGAAGCAAATGAATTGCTCCTTCCTGAAGTGGATTGGTTTATAATAATATCCTGGTAATGCGAATCAGGAGCTCACTACTGTTGTAGATAATAAAGCACTTGCTATTATAATGGTAGCAACTGTTAAAATCTATCCCATAATATATAGCCCATATCCTGTACTTAGAAGAGAAAAAAAAGTTACTGAGTTGTCTGGCAAGTGAGAAAGTACCATCTCTGTCAATATATATTCCATAGATAGCCTGCTTATTGTTGCTATGAACTGAATGTTTGACTTAGAAGTAATATTTATAAGAAAAACTAATTAACCACTATATTACTTTGCATATTATTAGTGATTATATATATTAATAATATTCTCAGTAGTTAATAAACTATCTTAATGTATTCAGAATTTTAAATTACTTGGAAGATTGAATCTCAATGAAGTTATTGAAAGTATGGCTATTTTGTCTTCAAATATTTCTGAAAATTTTATCCTTCACCAACAGTGTGCTTCCATCTGACTGCTAAAACCTTTCCAGCTATAACAGACATTGAGTAACATATATTCCTTTCTCAAACATGGCTTCATATGACCTCTTGCCTTTCCAGCAAGTATGAAAATTGTGGTATTTGGCCTCCAGTGCCACCATAAGCAAGAATGGTGTTCTTCTATTTGTCACCGTTCATCTTTCTGTTGATTGAGTCTGCATTCTTTTTAAACAAACAGTGTAGAACGATTTTTATAATAATATTTTTTCTGTATTTTGATAGGTCTCATTGGTTAGTTTAATAGCCAATGCTTTGGGCTATTCTGAACTTGGTGCCATTAAATCGCTTCGGACATTAAGAGCTTTAAGACCTTTAAGAGCCTTGTCACGATTTGAAGGAATGAGGGTGAGATAAATCAATGAGTCTGAATGAATGTATACATACAAAAATTAATGTAGAAGTGTGACAGTCGTGCCTTTTGCAAAGAATTCCAGAATGGGAATGCATGCAAAAATGTGTGGATAAAAGGCCTTGCAACATGTCCTTATATGCAAGAAATGTACAGCTTACATTTGGAGATTAGACCTTGAGCTTATTAAATTTGCTTGCTCACTGCTCCATGGTTGTATTATCCCAGCCCCCTGACTGCTAAAGTTTCCATTGATTTGTGGACCTACACAGAAAAGTAAAAGGACATGAGGAATTTTAGAACAGAGGGCTGTTGGGTTTTTTTCTCCCGTTTAGCTGGAGTCTTTATTTTATATATTTCTGTAGCTAACTTCTATTCTCTGTTAGTTTGTCAGTAGTTCAGGATGGAACAGGATTACCTGGGAAACAAAACAAAACAAAACAAAACAAAACAAAACAAAACAAAACAAAACAAAACAAAACAAGGTGAAGAAGCTGACCACAGTGACACACCAGAAACTAAAGCCTCCCTGTGGCTCCCTGTCTACCTGCCCGGGGAAAAAAAATCCCACAATAAATGCTGTACTATTAAGGAAAGGTTCTCTGAAGAGACACCTGAAATAAGGACAGGGTTGGAAGTATAGAAGGGGAGAGATGGGAAATCATTTTCTCAGCTAGTGTCCTTTACTTCATGTGAATGCACCTGCTGCCATCTTACCTCTCCTCCTACACAGCTAAGTCCTTCCTGTTGAGGAAATTATTATTTTCATATTCTGCCAATATCTGACAAAAAAACCCCAACCTAAACTATTACAAGCAGTCTGCTGAAAATGCAAACTATGCTATTTCCTGGAAAAACTGATGTATAGAATATTAACAAGGTAATGTTATTGAGAAATATCCTTTCAGTCTTTCACCTCAAAATGCCCAGATGCTGCAACACGTTTATAGTTCGGTCATAGGTCTTAGTTTCCAAATAAATAGTGTGGTTGTCTGGGTTGAGGCTGCTGATATTCTAGAGGTGGCCATACTAGCCAGTGTAGGGGAGTGTGTCCTGTGGCAAATTGCCATCACCACTATATTTTACATGGTTTGCGTTTCAAACAGCACTTAAGTCCCTGCCTAACAAATGGGCAAGCCTTCTATTGATCTTGGGCTACTTTCAGTCAAATTAGTCAATTGAAAAATAATACTATATTCAAAACCATACAAAGAAAAGTACTGCAGTCTCTACTGATATGATAGAAAATTATTGTCTGAATATCTGCAGCTTTCTTTTAGTTCACAATAAGAAAACTTTTGTCAAGGGATTTGATCTGATCTTTTACTGCCACTTGCCCATATAGAGTAGCTCAACTGTATTAAATGCAGCCATCTAAAAAAACCACCCTATCGGATAAGTGTAAGAGCAACTATAGTGAGCTAGGCAATTCAAAACCAAGACTTACAGCAGATGCTGTTAATAAAGAACTAAATAAGATATGCTTAATTGTGTTACATTGTATGTAGATGCTAAAACACACTGGTGTCGATACATACATAAAGTTTCTGAGAATAAAATCATTAGTAATGATGACACTGATAAATAATATGTTTTACATACAGACATTTTTGTTGTCTTCCACATCATCATTCTTTAACCTTCTTTTGGTTTATTTTCTATCTATACATTTTGATTTGTATTGTTGGAATTTAACATTTATTTCTCTCTTTTTCTCTAGAGCACACAAATTCTAAGAATCCATCTTGCTACTAACAGGTTTTCTTTTTGTTTTTTGAGGTTTTTTTCAGACTTTTGCATTGTCTTAGTTTCCATATGATTTTATTTCTTGCTTTTTGGAATCTCATTAGTGATTTTATTGAACCTTAAATAACATTTCCCCCATAAATTTTTATTGTAATATTTCAACTGTCCATTTCATATTAAAACTGGTTTAACATTTTTAAAGTATTTCTATTTTTCTCTTTATAAACTAAGTGGCTATTTTGTCTAATTTGTACACTAGGTGGTTGTAAATGCCCTTGTAGGAGCAATTCCATCTATCATGAATGTATTGCTGGTTTGTCTTATATTCTGGCTCATCTTCAGCATCATGGGAGTCAATTTGTTTGCTGGCAAATTCTATCACTGTGTCAACACCACAACTGGCGAGATGTTTGATGTCAGTGATGTCAACAATTATACTCAGTGTGAGGAACTCATAAAAAACAATCAAACTGCCCGATGGAAAAATGTGAAAGTAAACTTTGATAATGTAGGAGCTGGATATCTTGCTCTGCTTCAAGTAGTAAGTAAATTTATATATTTTCTTTTTGCTGTTTTTAAAGAAGTCTGGGAAAAATGGTTAAGACTGTTCAGTAGTGGAATAATTTCTTCATAGTAATGATGTAGAACTTGCACAACTCTATTGAATTGTTACCTGTAATTTTTGTATTAATGATAGGAGAATAACTTTCCATTCCAAAGCTAGGGTGTACAGTCTCATCATGATGATAATAATGTGAAAATATTAAGTGAAAAGGTGCAATAATCTTTTTAGTGCTGCACAATATAAACTCCAGGAATGCATGGCAGACAAGGCTTAGACGTCCCTCTCATTATTAAAAAGGTCTCTCCCTTCCTTATGAGCTCAGCTGCCTTGTAAGACAGGAGGGCAGAGAGCAGCTAAAAAGAGGGCAGACATCCTGACTGTCTGGTCTGAAGTGAGCAACTACCTCTAATGCCTCCTACATAATCTGCTCCTAGGTATCATTACACATTCACAGCAACATTCTTTCGCATTCAAAATCCATTAATCTAGGCAATTCTGGCACTGTGAAATAATTCTTATTTTGTCAACAGCCTGGTCAAGGTAGAGTGGACTTTTATCTATGGCTACACTTATTTAAGGAATCAGTTTGTAAGTTAGATGGTAAAAATAAAAACAGGTCAACCTGGTGTCTCCAGTGCATGTATTTGTTTAACAGGGGCTTGATTTTCCAGACCTGGAAGTAGGTTTAGGGAAGGAAATCATAACTAATGCAAGATCTGAGATCCGGGCACTCAATGTTTTATGTAGCATGGAGCCAATTCTTTCTCTATTTTCATAATACTTCTGTAAGAGGTCTGAAATCCTGTGAGAGAAGTAGGAGCTGCCCATGGGAAGAATATGGATAGTTACTAATAGACAGATTCTAATTGAGTATTAGGTCTGATTAATCATATAACACTTTCTCTTGATGTTTGCAGATAAACAGCACTTGCTACTAAAATAAATATATTTCATTAAGAAGTACATGAAACTACAAAGACATTAAACTGTGGGTAAAACAGGAAAATGTAAAAAACTTCTATCACAAAAAATACTAATTATTTATAACTATCATATTTCATTAATGCTTGTTAAAGATTCATTATAATATACTAAATGAATATTATGTTACTTACAGTATTATCCTTGTGAAGTATTAGATGTTATTGTATTGCACAGTATATTAATTCTATTAATTGCTGCTACTTATATAATGTCTATAAATTGTATTTCCCCTCCAACTCCTTTTCCTATGTACTGTGGTGCAGAAACATCTTTGTTCTAGGTACTGAGCATATCTTTTATTTATGCCAGAGGAATAAAGACTTTAGGTCTTTACAGTCTCATTGGCTTAGAGTGGAGCTTCTGGTAGCTGATATCCGACCCAAAACACAAGCAAAAAAGCAAGCTATTATGTTTAGATGATTGAGGACTGTAGAATGACTTGCCTATAATTTGACATATAGATTCACTGTATGAAAAGGTGTCAAAAATGTCAAGGGATTGTTACTGCTCTGATATCACCAAGTCATCCATGTCACCCACCCTGACAGTGTTGGTCTTTAATTACTACATCACTACTCTGGACCTTTCGTTCTTCTTCTCTTTCTTTGTTTTTTCCTGATTTTTCATTATTTTCCTTTTCAAATATTCCCTTCCACCCTTTGCTTTTCCTGCAGAGATTAAGGGATCCTTGAGCATGTATCATGTCACCTCTTCAGCTGATTGTTAACATTCTCTCTCCACTCTTCTGCTGTATTTATTGCTCTTATCAAACTCTGCTCCTCTTCTAATACTGCTATGTAAAGTGCAGCAAATGGCTGTCAATTGTCAACTGAGACAGAAGGATCTACAAAGCCTGGCTCCAAGCATATCTTCTTCGTATTGCACTGCAAGATTCAGGAGGACATGAACACTCCCAGAGTACAAGTTTTTTGCTGTGAAAACTAGCAGCTGTACCAAAGTCCCAGAGCTACTTCTGACAAGCACAGATGCAAATATGCTCCTTGGGATGGTTCCTTGCCTGAATCTCCTCAGGAGAGATGCTCTTTATCTGTTCATTTCACAGGCCTTTTAGCTCCTTTTTTCTTTATTGTGAATGAACTTGGAAAACCTGGGTGATGAGCAGGCACTCACAACCTTCAACTAGCATGTCACACCAGCCTTTTGGTGTTCCTCAGAAAGCGGACATCTCATGCCCATGAAAATCACCTCCTTAAAGCAATGACGGCAGATCTTTTTTACTCTCTATTCTACCTAGACAAAGTCTCTACAGGAACTCAGGTCTTTTATAGGAGTTAATCACAGCTCCTTCACAGTTCAGTTTTTGGTCTTCTGTAAATCTTATCCCACAAGAACCAATGCCTATTTTGACTATGAACAGTCTACTCCTTTTAGTTATGTGGGATTAAAACATTTCTAAAAACACCATGGCAGTTTAGCCATAGCAAAAACATTCAGATGTGTGTTAATATCTGTCCAGAAGTTGTATTGCTGACTCCATCAATTTATGCTGTAAACTTCATAAAATGGCTGTGACCATGAGTGATTCTAGTAGATTCTACCTGAACATCTTTACCATTAATGTCAATCTGAGTCTGTCATTCTTCCTCTGCAAAGTAAACATCTGCAGCTCCAAACACACTGTGCCCTTGCTGAGACTTTCAGATCCTAATTTTTAAGATTTTTGGAATACCTGAAAAATAATGTCTCAAAAAATAGTATTACTATGAAAAATATTTTATTATGCCTGTGTTATTAAATGTGTTTTGTAAATTTAGATATGATTTTATCAAAAGTTAAGGTCCAAATGCTGTGACCTAGTTATTTTCCACATTATGAATTTTTATAGGGAAGATAAACAACTGTATTATATTTCTAGGCTACTTTCAAAGGATGGATGGATATTATGTATGCTGCTGTTGATTCCCGAGATGTAAGTGTAAGACTTTCAAAGATCATCTGTTGCTTATATTCTGATATACTTACACAATATAGAATTTAAACAGCTACACATACAACAACATTGAGAATTATAATCAGCACCAATACATATTTTTTCCAGATACATTTAGTCTAGAAAGGAACTTTTATGTAGCTTCATGAATATTAGAAATTGTAGTGGAAAGAATTAATGCCACTTCCTTCTGTTTAGCCAAGTAAATTAAATTAACTGGACTTTTTTCTGGAAAAGCTAATGTTCATCAAAAAAGCAAAGAAGATGTTTTTAACCACTGCCTTTGGTAATAATGAGTATGAATTAATTTAAGATTACATAATTTAATTATTATATATTGAATATATTATTCTTGTTTTATCATTTGTGCATTTCATTGTTTCTTTAGGTTGAGCACTTATGTTATCTAGATATATGTGCAACGACATTTTACGGCTGAAGATCATCTGATAAGTTTTCTAGGGATTAGAATTTTATCTTGCCTACATAACTAAAACTATGTTTACCTTTTACAAAAAAGTGCAACACAGATGCCTGAACTAGTTCTATACAACCTAGATTATAGTCACATTAGCAATATCTGTCATCACACAGTGACTTTCATCTTCCAGAGTAATACATCCTGTTTCATTAACTTCAGCATGTCTACACTCTAGCACATTGTGCAGTAGAGGTGCAAGTGTTGAGATGTGGAATCTGGAAGAATCGAGACAATAACAAAATCCTCCCTAGAAATTTGCCTCAATTTAATGGATTTCAAAAAACAATATACTCACTAGAAATTTATTGAAAACATCTATTGTTAGCTGGATGTGAGAACACTCATGTAAGACCAAAAGTGTTCTAGGGAGATTTAGGTGATATTAAAATTGATTGATTCTGTTCCTTGAAAATATACTGAACACAATACAGAATATTTAGATTTGTGCTGTTAAAATTAAGTACTAATGACTGCTATCAGTCCCACATTGCTTCTTCCTTCTATGAGAGGAACTTTGTGTATATGTACATACATAAACATATCTGTGTGCACATTTACTTTAAATTCCATATGAGTAATCATTCTGTCAGCTTCCAGTTCTCCAAATATTGATTGAAATGGACATGTTTGGTCTTTTTAACATCTGAGTGCAGTTTATAGCTTTTCTAGCTCAGATAGCTTATACCTATTCATAAATTATATGCATTGTTTTCTACATCTAGTATTGTCATGGGTAATAAATTGTATAATATTTTGTAGGTAGAAGATCAACCTAAGTATGAGGAAAATTTGTATATGTATCTTTATTTTGTCATCTTTATTATATTTGGATCATTCTTTACCTTGAACCTTTTCATTGGTGTCATTATAGACAACTTCAACCAACAAAAAAAGAAGATAAGTATTTGATTTTTTTCCACAGTGATATAAATTATTTCCTATAATGAATTAATAAGTTATTTATATAAAGCTAATAAAAATCAAAATTTATTTCAAGTCCTTGAAAAAAAATGTATCTTTTTTAACATAATCTGTGTTAAATCTGTGGATGTGATTTCTGACATTTGCATTTCAGTATTTTCACAAGCAAAGAGGGACAAATCATGAGTCAGTTCATAATAATTTGCAAATTGTGTAAGAGCTAAAATGAAGATGCAAAAAGGGAATGTGCATTATTCTTCTGATTAGAAAGCCTCACGATTCTTAGCCTTCAACTGCCAAAAAGAATTAGAACCTCAGGATCATTCTAAATCTTTGCATGCTGTGAAAAAGCAGTTTCATATGATTTCGGTTTATCCAATCACCAAATAAAAAGCAGCAGTACCAAACAGAAACAATGGTAAAAGTCAGTCATGAGCTACAGAAATTTTTCCTCGTGAAAATACTCTTTAGCTTCTTAAAAGAGCCATAAACACATCTGGGGATACTTCCTCAGTTTCTATCAATTATGCCATGCTTTGGGCTTCCAGTTTAGCAGACAGTGACTTTGACACTGTGTTTCCATCTGACTTTGTTCTGACTCATCAAGAAGCACAATTTACTTTATCCTGAAATTCAGTCAGTCAGGTGCACATCTGACCGGCAGCATTTGCATCTGCAAACAAAGGCTCATTTGAGTTAGTCAAGGTTCCAGTGGTGTTTTAATTAATAATTTGCTATGGCATGATTTGGATTACTTCTCATAAATTTGTATCAAAGGTAATTTTTTTGCTGTCATTAAAACCCGCAGATTAGACCCAAATACTCTCTCTTGATAAAATTGTGCCTCAAAGTTAGACCACTTTTAGACCTGGCTAGCTGTAAACCTAAAAGTCTATCTAGAATTTCAGACATGGAAAGCACTAGTCAGGCTCCCATGCATTAAACATATCCTAATCAGCGAGTATTTAACAGCATCAGTATAGTAACAACCATTTTAACCATGTCAGCAAAAGTGAGCATGAAGACACTGGAAAAACTCAACTGTCAGCCTGACAAGGCACCAATAAGGGTTTTTCTGTGTGTTAGGAATGCATATGAGTATCTACACTATTAATACCTGAAAAAATCACTTTTGTTATGTAAGTCAAATATAAATGTAATATTATATTACAGAGACATATCATGTTGTTAAATGTTGTATGTGTGGACGAGGACATGATAGTAATTAGTTTTGATATTATTTCTTTACTTTGGAGGTCAGGATATATTTATGACAGAAGAACAGAAGAAATATTATAATGCAATGAAAAAACTGGGATCCAAAAAGCCACAGAAACCCATCCCAAGGCCAGTGGTAAGAGTGATTTGATTTTAATACCCCTAATATTAAATACTCATCTGGGAATATGATTTTAGCAGAGAAGGTTATATGTCTGGAAAGAAAATACTTTTTCCATTTATTTTCTTGTAAAGGTAAAATGTGTCCCCTGTTTTTAATTCAGCAGACTAGATTTTTCATGTTTCATTTAAAAACATATACTCTGAAGTATGAACTGTAGGGTTTATCACAGAATATCACAGAATAGTAGGGGTTGGAAGGGACCTCTGTGGGTCATCTAGTCCAACCCCGCTGCCGAAGCAGGGTTTAATAAGGTTTAATAAGGTTGATGTGAAAAATTTCATAATTCCTTGCCTAAGTCCTAGAAAAGTGCAGCTGACTGGATCATTTATCGGTTCTTGTTACCAATGGATGAGCTTCATTTTCTGTTTTTTCTCTTCCCAGAGAATTTGTAGGAAATGGGAATGCGCTGGCCCTTGCTGCTGAAGACAGAAGGGGGCAGTGGTCACCTAATGTGAAAGACAGATGCAGATAATGTTACAGAGTAAAAGAATGCCCTAGGGAGTAAAGCACAAACTAGGATAAGTTTGTACCTAAAATAAGAAACAGAATCACAGAATCACAGAATCACAGAATGTTCGGGGTTGGAAGGGACCTCTGTGGGTCATCTAGTCCAACCCCCCTGCCGAAGCAGG